TGGCGAAGAGATTCTGGTTATATTGCCACAGGCCTCCGAGGAATATGGACCCATTTCGCACTATTATTTGGTGGTGGTTCCTGAGGACAAGTCCAATCTGCACAAGATACCCGATCAGTTCCTCACCGATGACCTTTTGCCTGGGAGAAACAAACCGGAGCGACCCAATGCCCCCTACATTGCGGCCAAGTTCCCGCAGCGTTCGATACCCTTCACCTTTCATTTGGGATCGGGTGATGACTATCACAACTTCACGAATCGCAAGCTGGAGCGCGAGAAGCGCTATCGCATCTTTGTGCGGGCAGTGGTGGATACGCCGCAGAAGCATCTCTATACGTCGAGTCCCTTCTCCGAGTTCCTGTCGCTGGATATGAGGGAGGCTCCGCCTGGCGAGCGACCCCATCGCCCGGATCCCAATTGGCCCGCCGAGCCGGAGGTGTCGGTGAATCGGAATAAGGATGAACCCGAGATCCTCTGGGTCGTGCTGCCCCTGATGGTGTCCACCTTCATCGTGTCCACCGCTCTGATTGTTCTCTGTGTGGTCAAGCGTCGCCGTCAGCCCTGCAAGACTCCGGATCAGGCGGCTGTTACCCGACCTTTGATGGCTGCTGACTTAGGAGCAGGACCCACGCCCAGCGATCCCGTGGACATGAGGCGTCTCAACTTCCAGACACCCGGCATGATCAGCCATCCGCCCATTCCCATTTCGGAGTTCGCCAACCACATCGAACGCTTGAAGTCCAACGACAATCAGAAGTTCTCGCAGGAGTACGAGAGCATTGAGCCGGGTCAGCAGTTCACCTGGGATAACTCCAATCTGGAGCATAATAAATCCAAGAATCGTTATGCCAATGTCACCGCCTACGATCATTCCCGCGTCCAATTGCCGCCAGTGGAGGGTGTATCCGGGTCGGATTACATCAATGCCAACTACTGCGATGGCTATCGGAAGCACAATGCCTATGTGGCCACCCAAGGACCGCTGCAGGAGACCTTTGTGGACTTTTGGCGAATGTGCTGGGAGCTAAAGACCGCGACGATTGTGATGATGACGCGGCTGGAGGAGAGGACGCGCATCAAGTGCGATCAGTACTGGCCCACGCGGGGCACCGAGACCTATGGCCAGATCTTTGTGACCATCACGGAGACCCAGGAGCTGGCCACCTACAGCATCCGGACATTCCAGCTGTGCCGGCAGGGCTTCAACGATCGGCGCGAGATCAAGCAGCTGCAGTTCACCGCCTGGCCGGATCACGGAGTGCCCGATCATCCGGCTCCGTTCCTGCAGTTCCTGCGCCGCTGTCGCGCTCTCACGCCACCCGAATCCGGACCCGTTATCGTTCACTGCTCGGCGGGAGTGGGTCGCACTGGCTGCTATATCGTCATCGATTCGATGCTGGAGCGAATGAAGCACGAGAAGATCATCGACATCTATGGGCATGTGACTTGCCTGCGGGCGCAACGGAACTACATGGTTCAGACGGAGGATCAGTACATCTTCATACACGACGCCATCATCGAGGCCATCATCTGCGGCATGACGGAGGTGCCGGCGCGCAATCTGCACACTCATTTGCAGAAGCTACTGATCACCGAGCCCGGCGAGAGCATCTCCGGCATGGAGGTGGAGTTCAAGAAGCTGTCCAATGTCAAGATGGACTCGTCCAAGTTCGTGACGGCCAATCTGCCGTGCAACAAGCACAAGAACCGCCTGGTCCACATCCTACCGTACGAATCGAGTCGCGTCTACCTGACCCCCATCCATGGAATCGAGGGCAGCGACTATGTCAACGCCAGCTTCATCGACGGCTATCGCTACCGATCCGCCTACATCGCCGCCCAGGGTCCCGTGCAGGATGCAGCCGAGGATTTCTGGCGGATGCTCTGGGAGCACAACTCCACCATTGTGGTCATGCTGACCAAGCTCAAGGAAATGGGCAGGGTACGATATTTAGGATATCCTAAATCCTAGCCTATGTACTTATTATTTCTTTATTTCCGCAGGAGAAATGCTTCCAGTACTGGCCGCATGAGCGATCCGTGCGCTATCAGTATTATGTTGTGGATCCCATTGCCGAGTACAACATGCCTCAGTATAAGCTGCGTGAATTCAAGGTGAGTAGAAAATTTGTTCACTAAAATAAAACGCTTATTTTACTGAACACGTCTAATTTTTTAGAGAATTTTATTTACACTATTAGTTGGCGACTTTTTAGACTTAGAGTAGCAACTTTTAGACCAAAAATCCAAAAACCCCTACGATAAAAAGTGGATAATTATATATACAATAGACACAACAAAATTCAAGTTAATCGGTACAGTGGTTTTCGAGTTATAAAGAGAATAAAGCGATTGTATTGTATTTTCAATTTTTCGAATTTTTGCTCTAAGCTTTCACTTGACATTCCTAAGACATCAAGCGTCAAGAAAACACAAATATAAAAAAAACGATTCTTTTGATTATTCTGGGTGTAAATTCCCCCTTAAATTATTTAATAAATCGAAACTAATTAAATCCTCCTCTCTTTGTAGGTCACTGATGCCCGGGATGGCTCGTCGCGCACAGTGCGCCAGTTCCAGTTCATCGATTGGCCGGAGCAGGGAGTGCCGAAGTCGGGCGAGGGCTTCATAGACTTCATCGGGCAGGTGCACAAGACCAAGGAGCAGTTTGGCCAGGATGGACCCATCACCGTGCACTGTTCAGCGGGCGTGGGACGTTCGGGCGTCTTCATCACCTTGAGCATCGTCCTGGAGCGGATGCAGTACGAGGGAGTGCTGGATGTCTTCCAGACCGTGCGCATCCTGCGCTCCCAGCGTCCGGCTATGGTGCAAACCGAGGTGGGTTTTACACAAACATTTTTTTAAAAATTCAAAAATTAATTTCTAATTTATATTCATTCAATTACAGGATCAATACCACTTCTGCTATCGCGCTGCATTGGAGTACTTGGGCTCATTCGACAACTATGCCAACTGAGCTGAAAACTCAGCGACCCTGCGTTCGTTGCATTCTCATTTCGAACTCTACGCATAATACGCATTTACGATATACACGGATATCATAACTCTAAAGTATTATAGCCAGCTACTGCCCACAATTACTTAATACGCCTATACTTATATATACGTGGACATGTTTAGTTGATAAGCGCACCCCCCGCCCGAAGGATATGTTACCATTATGATTACTTTGGGGCCTCCTTGGTCTTTTACTACGTTTGATTTAATTGATAATGTAAACTGAAAAAGACTGTTACACGTTTAATTATCAGAAATTTATATATCAGCCCACATGCACTTCTGTAGGTGCATCAAGATTTTGCTCGCTAACGGAGGAGGAGGAAGTCAATCAACATGTTGTTCGTGGAACTGCCGCCAGAATGGCCAGGAATGGGGCGGACCACTGGAAACCGATACATATTTGAACTAAGGACTTGGTAGCTATTAGTCTTACCGCCTAACTCAAATCTCGAACGGAGGAATAGGGTCGAACGAATTAAATCTCAAACTTCTGGCGAATTAACAGCAAAATCCAATCGCCACTATAATATGAAGACGTATGAGTAATACAATCAATCAAATACCGCTATGTTAATCAGTTTTTATGCCTAGGTTGTTGGAAACCAGTATAAACAATCCGTGCAATTAGTCAAAAGTCTTGCATAGCGCATATTCTATAAGGCAGCTAGATTCTAAAATTAGTTTTCTATCAACACTTAAGTTTTGATCTCCCCTAAAATAGATGACGAACTTGAAGGACTGATCGATGTCTTGGTAGCTAACCGACTAAACGGTTCCCATTTTTTTAAACCGATAAGAGACGCAGACACAGACGCAACTTCCAGCTAAGCAGCTAATTGAAACTTTAACCTCATTCCCACGACTTCTATTCAGTTCCCCAGTACATTCCTGTATATACCACAGTCGATACCCAAGCTAGCCACGTATGTATGTGTAATTTAGATCGAAAAGCTAAACCATTATTGTACCTAAGGTGTATGAAGGCATAGTTAATAACCAAGCGAACAGATTAGAATGATAACTGTAGATATGTACTGTAGCATATAATTTTTACCATAAATTAGAGCGGCGCACGCGAAAAGGAAAATAAATCAAGACATTGGCAATAGGTATTAAGGTACATTGTAATGTATATAACTGATAAGCTGTTTTGCAGAACGTTTGAATTCGGCCTCGTATTTATACATAAATATATATACAAAAAGTTAGCAAGCAAATGCTTAAAAGCAAACACTAAATTATTAGCTGAAACACATGTTAAACAACAATAGTCATATGTAAACTAAATATTTATACGAAATAAAGGTATTTGTTATAACAACTTTAGCGCGTTGCCCCTGCCAATTGGATCGGAAGTGTTAGGAAGTAGTCAAATTTGCGGCGATGTTGGCCGGCTGGGCATGTTTGGAATAAAACGAGAGATATTAAATTAAACTATAGCGCTAGCAACAATAGATGTCTAGATAAAGGTACCCACGCAGAGTGTTGCAATCGTATTAAACTTAACATATAAATCAATTGAAAAGTACGAATATATTGTATATTACACAAATTTGTCGGCTTGTCAAATTTTGTTAAAATATAAATTGTTTTATATGTTTTACCAAATAGAAAGATATAACAATTTTAATGGTAACATGATACACAGACAAGCAAACAATATAATGATTATACTAATCAAGCAACAGATGAGCGTATGTATTTCGCATTAATTTATGAGTAAGAATATCATATTATGTTTAAAAATACCATACAAATAATATATCATTTTCAAAAAACTGCAAAACCGAATGACAAGAAATAATAAAAGATGAAATAAAAGAAAGTAAAAGACTTGAATGTGTTTCCATCGACTATAAACTCTGCTTGTGATGCTGATAAGGTGATTTCGTCATCATCAAATTCTTCATCGCTCTGCCGTTCTCTCGGAGTAAGATTAACAAGAAGCGTATTCGCCGGATATGGCATGTGTATAAAAACCCACGGTCCGATTCAAAATGTTTGAGTCGAATTTGCTCAAGATGCGGTGCACACTAATATTTGTTCTTTCGGTTTTGGTGAGTAGAATAAAAAGGATAAAGAACGCCATATTTATTGAATCTAATTGGTACTCTTCAGAGCCTTGCCTGTGCTGCTCCTCCAAGATCGGACAATGAGAACCTCTCTTATTTTCTTCGCTATGTCGAGACCATTCGTGGCATTCAAATTCACAATATGCTGGTCGTGACAGTTAAGTTTGTCGAGCAGGTAGTGAATAGCGTGCCGGTTGAACATCGTGGACCAGGATCACATGTCCTTGAGACCTTTGCTAATCGCGGCAGGGCCCTTCAACAGCGAGGCTCTACTGCTGAGAAATACGTCTACATCTATGATCTCCAAGAGGTGTTTGAAGGACTTAAGAACAATTTAAGTCAATCGTCACCCGAGTCTCAAAAGATTGGAATGAGCATTATCGGTTTACTGGGCGTTGCCAGTGAATTCGCCAAGGAGGATGAGATGGTGCATAATAAATTCGTCGAAGGTGCTACTCGACTGAAAACGAAGGTGTCTCCGGCAACCATTGCCCGGGAGAGTGAGCTTTTTAATGCTGTCAACAAATACGTAACTTCTTCTGATGTTCAGCAACATGAAACACTCATAGAAGATGTCCTGCGCTTCAAAAATAGGTACTAAACTTTTGTAATTAGTGCAATTAAAATTGAATAAAATCTTGCTATAAATAAAATGAAAGTAAAAGTAAAATTGGTCTTGAATTTGCATCAGTCATCGGCTCACATTAAATTGTTATCAGCGTTTGTGGTCAAGGTTACCAAGAAGCTTTTAAATTTTTGGATTTCTTGATAAGTGATGTTTTGAAAAATTTACCTAGCACCGCCACATTAGTCATACATTAATTGAAGTACGTTTTCATAAACAAATATATTTATAATTTATATGTACATGGGTTTTGTTGGAATATAAATCAAATTTAAAATAAACAAATAAAATTCATGGCATTGATTAAGATTCTACTTCTTTCTTATCGCATTTTTTAAAAACACGAAATATATCAAAATGGTAAAGATAAAGTGGTATAAAAAACATAACAGTTAGCTTATTATTTTACATCAGGTGGGCTTGAGTCGTTCTGATCACGTTGGGACAAAATGTTGAGCGGATCCTCACTGCGGAGGTAGCCATTGTGTTCTGGGTGATGTTCGAACACCACCTCTCCCCTGATGACCCGCACCCGCGGGCCGTGGGCACGAGCTGTGAATTTCACTTTCCCACAAGTGTCTGGACGAAGGCGACGATGGGCTCGTAAGCCGCTGACAACTACAAAGTATTTATCGCATCCATAGCATTTATAACGCTTCATTCCAATATGGCGCGATAGATGGGAAATCAGAGTTTCCCGGTGAGTAAAATCTAACGAGCAGACCTATGGGCATAATTTAAAAAGATTAAAGACTGTAACTAAGTACTGTACATTTAAAACAGCACAATATTTGATAGGATATTGAACAGTGAATAATATTGCTATTAATCTTACTCACCTTGCATTTAAATGGTTTTTCCCCTGTATGACGACGGTGGTGCACTCGAACCTGTCCAGGAGTACGGAAGCGTTTGTCACAATAGTTACACTTATGCGGCAGCTCCCCCGTGTGGATTGTCTTGTGGATACGTAGGGCCCCAAAAGTAGTAAATACTTTGGAGCACTCCGTGCACTGAAACTGCGCCATTTTTAATTGATTCTTCCTTGACTTCCTCGAGACAGTTGTCTTATCAGGAGTTTTCTTTGGGGAAGTTTCTTCTTTGTTAAAAGAAGGATGGTCTCCCGAAGGAGCAATAGGTTCGGTACTGTTTATGATAAATGGCAAATTAACAGTCTTGTCTTGATTTGGAGAAAATTCTGGCATTTGTGGCTTCGATTCCACAAGCGTTGCCAATGGCACATGCTCTTGTTTAGGTTCACAGTTTGAAGAATCCTGGGACAGAACTGAAAGAGAAATCAACATATGTTTAGAAAAGCAAACAATATGAATATACGAAATGATTATACTTACTTTTGTATGGCATTAACATCACTTTAAGACTATTTAATTGTTCCTGGCTCAATTCATGCTTGCTAGTCAGGTGCATTCGAAATGGACAATGCTTTTCGAAGGACCGCTGGCAAAGCGGACAAGTCCACATAAAACGGTAGAGTGGATACTGTGTCTGTAAATTCTTGGCCACCATAAAGGACAATGCGTTAAGAATCAATTCAACTGGCTTCGGCGCATCCTTGGGACCAATCAACGGAGGTAGGGATAGATTACCGTTGTTTGTCTTTGAAGATTGCAGCACTGTTCCCGGCAGAGGCAATGTCTTTTCAATAGAACGTATTTGGTTACGAAATTCGGTAATTATCTTCATAGATTCCGGCCTGCTTTCCGATTTGTTAAACGCGTCGAGGAGAAAGCAGGATGACCGATTGTGGGTTTGTGCCGGCAACGAAGTTTGGATGTGCTCGGGAGTTACAGCTGTTGCAGGATTATTCACAGAATTCACTTTGCTTATACTTATCGCCTGTGGAATTTTAATGGCATTCTTTTCCATGTCACTCAGACTAACTGTAAGGGACTCTTTCGAGGCAGCCGTAGATTGGCCGGGCATCTTAAAGATTTTTGTGTTGGCCGGCAATTTAATTACCATGCAGTTGCTGGGCAATACTTTTAGTATATTGGCTGCAATCGGGGGCTTTCTCTGTGGCACAGTGAGGTGGTTAGGAATTTGGGGAATTAAATGATCTGCGGTTGCCTTGTTTTGGGTAGCGACAGTTGAGGTGCCTAGACCATTCCATTTAAGAGCTGCAAAGGAGGGATATTGGAGCTTTTTTAAAAAAATGTTTATTATTTAAAGGAACTTACTTTTTAAATCCACCTGCACTTTGGTGTTGCTTAAAGCAGGCAAGCGCAGTTTGCTCCTCAGCGGAATGGGTATGCTTGACCAGATAGTATTATTATTTTTGGAACGCTCCGTGAGCTCCTCCTTTATGCTAACTTCTGGCATTCCCTCGTCCTGTGGTTCCACTTTAACGCTGACTGGAGGATTGTCTTCCAATAGCATTTGTTCTCCTTCCTCAGCGTAGAGAGGCTCCTCCTTAATCTGCACATCGCACACCGATTCTGCAGAGACTGGCGTACTAACTGCCACAAGTTCCGGCTTGGTGGACAGACCCTGCATGTAGCGCACCCGACCGCAGACGTACTGGCCTTGCTTCCTATGTAGACTGAGGCTCTGGCTGGACTCGAAATGGCGACGACAAATGGCACAAACATAACGATATACGTATATGTGACGCTGCATATGGCTGGCCAGGCAGTCCGCGTCTTTGGCCAAGAAATCGCAAATCTAAAATAAAAATCTTTTAAGTCAATCAAAAACATATATATTAGAAGAGCTTACCCTGCAACAAAAAACATGTCCTGGCTGTGGGTGCTGGCGATATTCGTGCTCGAGGATCTGTTCCAGCGAATCCAGCCAGATGCCACAGCCCAGCCGGCAGAAATGCCGGTTCATTTCATGGTTGACTTGGTGCCCTGAGAAATGCAGGCGACTTTCCAAGACGTAATGGCATATGTTGCACTCTTTTGGGGTTGGGTTGTCCTCCGATGAAACCGCAAATATCTACAATGTAAGATGGGACATACATTTATTTACATTGATATTTATTCAGTTTTTTTTTTTAAATTTGTAAAATATTTTATTATTCAAAATAGTGTTTTATAATTTTTAAAAATTTAACTCGAACTCGAAAAAAAAATAAAATTATTCTTAATTAAGCAGTAAGAGAGTAAGCAGTAAGTCTTTAACTAAGCACTGATATTAGAGTGAACCAAAATTCAGTTTATAAACATATACATACATATTTATAGGAAAGGCGACCAACTTTGAAAAACAATTATAATAAATTAAATTATTCTTAAATTAGCATTAGATAAATATGTGTTTGACTGAATTATTATTAGAGTGCCCCAAAATTCTGTTCATAAATGTATGAAACCATTTATAAGATGGGCAAACCTTGGAATACAATTACATATAATAAATCGGGTCCCTAAACATCCTTAATCTCAATCCTTAATCCAATCTAGAAATGTAATCTTCATACACCCCCACGCCCATTACGCCCCTGTGTGGCTGTGCTTTTATAGGTTATATTTACCTGTTGCCGATCGAGTCCAAGGCTGGCGATAAACTTCCGCTCGTCCTCCGACTCCAAACGGTCCCTAATCGGCACGGTTATCATTTTGGGACCCTCTTCCAGGATCTTCAACGTATCGCGTGCTGAAGATTTGCAAGAATTAACAGGAATTAAAAGTTAACGGTAAAGTGCGTAATAGAATAGCGACACCAACACATGCACACGACCCCACAAACACACGCATGTGAGCGGAGAGCATCGCAAGCTTACCGCTCAAAACTTCGATCGCAGCATCCGGCAAGTCGTCCTGCGGCTCCAACTTGACCCTGGTGTCCTCGATGTCAATTTCCTGCTTGACCAGGGCCAGGTCCACGTGCATTGCGCTCCGTTTTGAGGATATCAGATCAGCAAATATGAATATAAAGAAGAAGAGAGGAGCAGCGCAATAAATACCGCTGTACAGCGCTGCGATCAGAACGCGACTATCGATAGGCGGGGCGTTGCCAGACCCGCGCATGCGATAATCGGCTGCGGCATATCGATAGGCGCGATGAACCACCACCTCACGAAAATTGTAGCAACAACACTGATTTCTGGTTAAAGTAAACAAAGCGAATAATCTAAGGAAATCGAGGTAAATCCTGAGTTATGAGCAATAGTGAGGACTCGCAGCAGTATCTAAACGACATGCTGGTGAAGGAGGAGGACGAGGCGTCCGGAGGTAAGCGGGAAACCACCCATGTGCACTAGGTTTACTATTTCTCTTGGTTTTTCCACACCCCAGACGAATCGGACAAACAGGATGGAGGGATTATGCTGCGCGAACAGGACCGCTTCCTGCCCATTTGCAACATCATCAAGATCATGAAGGTGCCGGTGCCGCAGAACGGCAAGATAGCCAAGGACGCACGCGAGTGCATCCAGGAGTGCGTTTCCGAGTTCATATCCTTCATCAGCAGCGAGGCCATCGAAAGGAGCGTGGCGGAGAACCGGAAAACAGTCAACGGCGACGACCTGCTGGTGGCCTTCAGCAATCTGGGATTCGACAACTACGTGGAGCCACTGTCCATTTACCTGCAAAAGTACCGAGAGGTAGGTTTAATGGGATAATTCCACCCCACTCCTCGCTAATCGAATTACATCTCCCATTTTAGTCCAACAAATCGGATCGCAATCTCTTCCTGGACGCCAGTTATCCGCATAACGAAGATGGATCCTCCACGAACGAGGCGGGAAAGCAGTAGCCCATGGTTGGCCTACCCTGGTAGTTAAGGTTCTGTAGACAGTTCTGGCAGCAAAGATAAATTCTTAGTGTAATTCAATTGGAAACTGACCCCTTAAAGTATAAACATTTTTTATTTTATCTATTCCAAGTTCAAGATTTTGAAATTTATTATAAGTGAAAAACTAAGTCTCTTCTGCTAGAACTGTCAAATAGTGATTATTTTAAATCTTTTTGAACTACAGGTTTTATATTCATAAATCAATTTCCCGAAACATAGTCAAACTCCATATTTAAGATCCTTATATATTGGTAATAATCATGTGTAATATCCATTAAGTATAAATATTAAGAGAAAAAGCTCATATATAAAATCAATACACAAATTTATAAGAAATAAACTTTTTTATTTATACATAGATAATAAAAATAACATTTTCAAATGTTGGCGGGGATCAATAACTTTCGTTGGTTACGTTTAGTGCGTATAAAATCTTTTTTAGGGAATGAGATAAATGTTTTTACAGTTTAAGTACTTTATTTTTTAACTGTAAAAGCTTTTTGTAACTATTTGTACACATGCACAATGTACAATGATATATATTTTCAAAATATTTTTCGATTATCTTAAATTGTAACATTTTATCTTTATAAAGACTTGAAGCTAGTTAAAAATCGAGCGTATATTTCATAAAAGATTATCACTAAACCATTTATAAAAATGAATTTTATGTAGGGATCTTGGCTCGACAAGTTATTCTTTTTCTAATTTGATCTGAATGTCATGGATTGACAGTTCTGTTATTAAGTTGGGGATTAGTTTTGAGGACGGACTCATAAACTCGTAAAATTGTTGGTTTAGCAACATATTCGTATTCTCTTCTTTTTCCTGTTTGATCTGAAATTCATGGTTCAACGATTTGGGGCATGGTTCTGAAGAAATATAAGCATCGACAGGTTTAGGATTAGAAGGAGTGATAGAAGTTGGTGCAGTGACTAGGTGCTCATCAGTTCCCTTATAGCAGCTAATCGGTTCCACCTTACTGACCCCCAATTCCACCTCCAGATGGGGCATAGTTAATTCACACTGCTGATCCGCCTCCATCTCCTCTTTCAGATCGATTCGCTCCATTCTAACATAGGGTTCGCTAAGCAAGTTGCTTGGTTCTGTTGGTTCTGAATCGGAATACTCCGCCTTAACCAAGGGTTTTAAAAGAGATTTTTCCAATTTTCTCTTTTCTTTTTCCTGTTTCAGTAGAAGCGCCTCGTGGCTGCGCAGAATCCTCCATTCTACGTTGTCTGGATTCTGGTGCACTGCCTCGCCAGGCAGACGCAATGTGGGTACGCTCCAGCGGAACAAGCGAACCTCATTGCGGAGGCAGTCCGGCTCAAAGTGTCGGCGGCACACCCGCATGTTGGTCAAATCACCACTTATATTTAGCTGGCAGTTATCCGCCCACCTCTGCAGAATCTCCGGCATTGATGGCAGATAGTAAAGGGTGACTCCATCCCTGGGTCTCAACATGTTGCACGTTTTGACAGCACATCTGAAGCGGTCCAAGTGGCCGCTCCTTAGGATCTCCCCGTACATTTTGTCCAGAAATTGTTCTGCATCGAGTGCCTTTCGCAATATTGGGCTCCTCGCACAATGTTCATAGAGCATTACCAAGTGCAGCGGGCAGACCTGCAGGGAATCCTTGGAAGCGGCCGCAGCCTCATCGATACTCAAGTATTGCAGCCACTCCAGGCGCCATTTTTCCCTGGGAATATGGTAAAACAATTCCCTGTCGAACTCCAAGCAATCAGGATAGCAGCACCTTTCTTTCGCATCGACAACCTTCCAGTCTTCTTCTATGGTTTCCTCGTCCTGTGTGTAAAGATCTTTATATCTGTGGCGCAGTTTCCTGGTGGGTATAGCACCAGGGAGCAGCTGATAGCTATTGACGAAGCAAAAGAACTCAAAGTGACACTTGCACACTTTAAGCGTTTCCCTTTGCTTCTTGTCCAAGTCGAGGCGTAAATTGTGCGACCACTGTTTGAAATGTACTTGCGACTGGGGAAAATTATAGAACCCCCTGGATTCACAAGAGCGTTTGCTGCAGGCCACGCAGTAATAATTTACATTCGAGCTGGCGGGTCGGTGTTCCAGTTCTTCGTCCAGAAAGAGCGTTGGAATCGAGCCACGCCGCAGTTCACCTTTTCGAATAAAGCACTGCCGCTGAAAGTGCCGATCGCAAATGTGCTGATTCATTAGGTCGGCGGGAGACTTGGCAAAGATCTTGCACCATTTCTCCAGTTGCCTGCGGTTCGTCGGAACTCGCAGGTAATGGGTGTCCACATCTGTTATCCTTCTCTCACAGTTGGGAACCAGGCATTGGATGTTTGTCAGCGAACTCACAGCCGTTCTAAGTTTTAGAGTGGGAGCAGACCCTTCTTTTAAATATCCCGTCTCCGGATGAAAACACTTGGATTTAAAGTGAATTTGGCACACTTTGAACCCATCTCTTACGGCCTGCAAAGAATCATGATTGCATTTCGCTGCCCAAACGCGACTATCGGTGGTACTCTTGGGATATTCGAACAGTCGCACTCCGTCTCCTTCTTCCTGAAAGCAACTGAGCACGGAGCAGTGGTGCTCCCGCACGTTCAGCAGTTGACGATAGATATCCTGGGCGTGGGCAGGCTTTCCGTTGGGCCTGACATTGCGGATAACGTGTCCATTGTGGCCGAGGTTCAAGGTGGGAACCGCCCAGTCGCGGAGCTGGTTTAAGTAAATGCAATCGGGCTCAAAGTGGGATTGGCACAAAAACAGATCCGTCGGATTCCTGAAACGCGGCTTCTGCTGTGTATTTACCAGCCACATCAACAAATGCTGTTCCTTGCTGGGAAAATTGTGGAGTAACTCACGCTTTTTGCACGTGGCAATGCAACATATTTCCTCGTGAATAGTACTTTTTTGGCTTGTAGATAATGTTGGTGAAGTTTCCTATAAAACGTAATACAAAAAAATAATTAGGGTATAAAATAAAGTATATTTTTAAATTATTATAGAAAACCCATTCATCTATTTTTAAAAATTCTGACAAGTGTCTCTTTATCAGCCATTTAATAAAAGGGATCTATAGGTAAGTATGAGATTAAACAAACAAATATTGCAGAATTATCCATATAAAACTGATTCAAAAATTATGGTATAAAGTAAAGTATATTTTTAAATTACTAGAAATCCCATTGATATATTTTTAAAAAGTCTGATAGGTGTCGCTTTATCAGGCATTTTAAAAAATGGATCCTTAGATAAGTATAAGAATAAACAAACAAATATTGCAGAACTATCCATATAAAACTGATTCACACCTAGCTTTAAAACATTTTTTTCAGGATAGCAATATCAAAATCAAACTATCAAATATCAACTTTTACCCTTTTTCCCCTTCTAAAGCTCACCCTCGCTTAACTGACCTTTAGATCCTTGGCGGAATCGTTTTGGTTCCTCCTGAAGGCATCTTGAAACCATTTATCCGCTTCTGAATCGATTTTCTCCAATTTAATGGTTTCCAAAACCAAGTTATCCGTTTCGTCGTCCTTCTCATTTTCGTTTGGGTCTCCTTCCTGTCGCCAAATCTTCTCGTGACCTTCGACAAGTTTCTTTGAATTTTCCATATGATTCCTGAAGATAACCGGATGGGAGTGGCCCAGCTCCAATGTGGGAATAGCATCAACGTGTAATGTGCTTGATGATTTAAAACAACTCTTTTCAAAGTGCCTTTTGCATATCTTCATATCTTCTAGCGGCGTACAGCCTACATCTAATCGCAAATTGCCCGTCCACTTATTGCACAAAACTGGGTTGTCCGGGAACTTGAAGTGCTGCTCGGGCTTTAGCTTCTCCTTGCAGCCAGGTACGCAGCATTCAGGGATTTCCACCATGAGGCTTTCCTGGCCCAGTAAGAGAGTTGGAATCGCGCCGGGATGCAGGACAAGGGGGCTTTCAAAGCAGTGCGGCTCGAAGTGACGCTGGCAAACGAGCTCGTCCTTAAGATCCGAGTAACGCATACCCAGGACATGACTCCAGGCTTCAGGTGGACAGAAGTAGCGAGTGTGTTCATCCGGCCTACGTGGCTTGCAGTTTGGCACCACGCACTGAACATTCGCAACGAGTTGAAGAGTGGGAAACGAGCCTTCAAATAGGTCACCAGTGTCTGGATGGAAACACTGCGGTGCAAAGTGATCCTGGCACAACTTAAACCCGTAATGTATGGCCTGCAAGGAGCGATGCTTGCACCTGTCTGACCAAATCCGTATTATGGCCGTATCTGTTGGGTATTTAAAGAGTCGCAGGTTTTCTCCTTCGGCCTGAAAGCAACTGATCACAGAGCAGTGGTGCTGCCGGATATACTTGAGTGCCTCATCCAGATCCTGAATGTTTCTGCCCCTGTTCCTGGTGTTGGGAATAACGCAGCCATTGTGGCCGAGGTTCAAGGTGGGAATCGCCCAGCTGGTAATTTGATTCTGCAAGATGACCTCGGGCTCAAAGTGGGAATGGCATATGGACAGGCGACGGGGAGGCAGCAGACGAGGCTGCTGCTTGGTGTTGGCCAGCCACAGGAGCAACTGCGGCTCGTCCCTGGGAAATCGATGGAGTATCTCATGGTTTTCCTCGCAGGTGGCTATGCAGCATTTCCTCCACCAGTCCGTGGAGTCTCGCGGGAGACGATTTTTGGGCAAAGCAAATGTCCTTTGCTTCTTGCTCAGGTTACTATCTGGAGGATCAGTATCTGTTGACTTTCTTTTTGAGTGAATTAAGGATAAGGATGTCTCATTTCGGTTCAGGGACGACTGATCCTGGATGGCTAGTTCCGAATCCATTGCGGCGCATAGATACAATTCAGCTGCATCGCAAAGTAAAAGGAAGAATGAATTGTCCCTAAGTTAAATCAGAAGAAACTAATGACACTACCTTTAATTACAAATTAAATTGTTAGAATTAAAAAACCTCCGTTGGTCAGATGTAAACAAAAACGTAGTAACGGTCCTGCCAACTCGTTTTTCGAACTGTTATCGATAAGTATCTGTTTATCGCGCTATCGAGTTTTAAAAATTGCCGCCAGTAACTATGCTAGGGACAGAATTCAATTTAATTTACAACGTAAATCTTTAAAATAAGTAACAATAAAACAATAAATGTGTGGAGTCTATTAGCCATTTGGATGTGTATTTTAAAAATTCTCAAAAATGTTTCAATCGCCAATGTTTTAAAACATTATTTATTGGTTTTACTTTATTTAGCCTCAATAATATGGAATTATTAGAGTTATATATGCTATAAAGAAATTCCTATTACCTTAATAACAATAAAGATTATTGTAGCCTTAATAATGTGGAATTATTAGCTTACACAGTAATCAAATTCTTTTACTTTAAATTACCCACATATAAAGTGATATAACTTATTTCTTTTTAGTCCTTTGAAAACGGGAGGAACGTTTGCGTTTCTTGGCTTTCCACACACTTTCGTACATCGATCCCAGCAGGACACTTGCCATGCGACGCGTGGGCATGGCTCCCTTCCGCACCCTCGATCCTTGGAAGCAATCCTCGTCGAAGTGGCGGCTGCAGATGCGAAAGCTGGGCCAGTACTCCCTGGCCATCTGCACCTGGGTGTTGTGTAGCCACTTTTTGGCTGCTTCCTCGGAATCGGGGAGCTTGTGCAGGCGGAAAGTTCGGGTTACGTCCTTGAAAGTCTTATTACAACGCGGAACAGCGCAGCGATTGGTACTGTACTTCTTCCGCTGTCCTTGATCCTTGGGCTCATCTATGGATTTCCCAGCAAGGGGATTTAAATCGGAGTAATCAACATCCTCCTCGTCTTCCCAATCATTCAGCTTCGCCGCCTCGTTGTAAATCTTGTACTGCTCCCTGGTGACATTTTGATGCACTGCCTCGCCTGGAAGGTGCAGGGTGGGCACACTCCACTCGAGGAGTCGTTGACCCTGGAAGCATTGCGGTTCAAAGTGCTTGCTACACACCCGATTGTATTCTTTCTTCTCATTCAACTCCATCTGCCCGTTTTCCACCCACATCTGCTCGATTTCCTTGATGGTCTTCATACAATGCAGGATGCCTCCGTCTCTGGGCAGGAAGGTATTGCATCCCTTGATGGCACACCTGAGGACCTGCATTCGTTTCTTGCTTCGGGCATCCTTGTAGCTATCGTCCAGAGAGGCGTCGGACGAGTGATCGGCAAAGTTTTCGGCACTGTGCTCGTACAGAAGGATGAAGTGCAGCGGGCAGAGCTGTGGTTCATCCGAGGATGAGTCGGCCGGAGGCAGTTCAATGTTCATGTGGTTCAGCCACGCTTTGCGAAGACTATCCATCTTTGGCAGATTGTAGCAATTGATTTTATGCTGCTCTACGCAGTTCGGATAGCAGCAATCCAATCTGGTTGTTCCAATTCTCCAAAAAGCCCATGATGATTTCCCCAGAAGATTCATATTGGTCAGGTAGAGATCACGATGGGAATGACCCAGTTTCAAGGTCGGCATGGCTCCCAAACGCACTCGATTTGGTCCTGAACTCTTTTTTAAACAGGACTCCTCGAAGTGCTCATCGCAGACCATCATTCCTTCCACCGCATCGCAGGTGGCGTCCAGTCGAAAGTTGTGTAGCCACTTCTTGACCAGAACTGGCAGTCTGGGAAACGGGGAAAACGGTTTCTCTCCAGGCTGCCGGATGCGTCCACAGCCGGGCACTATGCAAGCGATCTTTTGAAACTCTAATTTTATACTTCCCGGATTTGGCTGGATTTCCTGGCCATGATTCAGGAAGAGAGTGGGCAGCGAACCAGGACGAAGTTTGTTGTCATTCGTGAAGCAGTAGTCCTCGAAGTGACGGCCGCAAACGCGGAGGTCATCACGATGGAGATCTCGTTGGTCAATCAATAGGTTGTTGCTCCAGGCATTTAGTAGAGTGCTAGTTACAGGAACTTTGTAGTAGCCCACAGGAGCAGCTGCATCCTGCGCACAGCCAGGCACAAGGCAAGTGAATAGCTCCCTGGAGGGCAAGGATCCCGCAAACAAGTCGCAAGTCTCCGGATCAAAAGAGTCCGTGGCGAAGTGCGAACGGCACAAGCGAAATCCTTGCCTGGCAACCAGGACAGGATTATGACTGCACCGTCGTGACCACCTGCGACGGCTGGCCTCGTCCTTTGGGTACTCATACAGCCGGTATCCTTCGTCCTTGGCCCGGAAGCAACTGAGCACGGAGCAGTACTCCCTGCGGATGTGCTTCATCACTTCCTTAGAGGGTTGTTTCGAAAGTGGAATCACGAATCCTGCATGGCCGAGTAATAAAGTGGGCACCGCCCAATCGAAGAGCTCATTCCGCTTAAAGGCTTCGGGTTCAAAGTGAAACTGACACACGAAAAGCTCTAGGGGATTAGCCAGGCGAGGCTTCATATCGGTGTTCACTAGCCACTGGATGAGCATATTTTCCTGGCTGGGAAAGCGAAAGAGTCGAATTTGTTCGCTTTCCTGCTGACCACAGGTGGGAATGCAACATTTCGGTGTCCTGATCTCCGGATCTTCCTTAACTTTATCCAGCATGGAGGGCTCCACTTTAACATACATCTCCTCCATCGGAAAGTCCTCGTCCGGCGGGAGTTCCTCCTCCATTAGTGGTTCCGCCTTAATTTTGATCTCCTCCACCATTTGACAGTCGTAGTCGTCGTCTGACTCCAGCTCCTGCTTCACCTGAACTTCATCCATTTTTAAGTCCTGGGTTCTAGGACTTAAATACTAATACTATCGGTGGTAACTTCATGAATTGATCCCGAAGAACTCTATAAAGGCGACCGGTTTATACATTTATTTCTCATAAAAACTTTAGAGCTAATAATACATTACCTTTTTGTATGTTTTTGATAATATACGACGTAGTAAACCAAGTTAACTTTGGTTTTGAAGCGCAAACAAATAGCGTCCTCAGTAAAATCAGCTGGGTGCTTGCCCTGCCAACTTGTTATATCGATAGATACGAAACCGATTACCATCAAATAGTAGATGAAACCCGCTCTTTTCAAATTTGTAAGTATGAAACAAAGTCTTTATAAGAACTCAAATATTAAAACGTTAAAAATAAGTTCAACCAAATTGATTTGATTTTTTATTGTATAATTTTTAGGTGACTTACAACTATTTGACTGCAATATGGACAGAGTAGTGATGAGTTATTAATGTCAGCTTTTTTACCAATTTCGTCTAAACAATTTTTACAAATTTTAAAATGGCTACATGGCATTAGGGCCACATCCCTGGGTTTATCCTTACATATAATGCACTTAAGGAAGTCTACCGTTTGGGTACACCTAGGTTCAACTTCATCACTCTTCTTTTCATTTTGCCCATTCTCGAAATCAGAATCACTGGTTTCAGGATTAAAGTCCCTTTGCAATAGTTCGATTTCTTCATCGACGATGGTTTTGAAGAAATCATCAATTGATATTTTCTGCTTATTTAGCAGATCGACTAATGTCTGAAGCCGTCTTTCCCTAATTCGTTGATTGCTGCATTTTTCGGTAATAGCAATTAGAAGTCCTTGACTAGTGGTACTCAGAGTAGTTGATGCACTGAGATCCTCATCTCGTATCACTTCCAGAAATTTGTGAAAACTACAGTGCTTCTGTAGCTTTTGTCCAAGCAATGTGTTAAAGGATTCCAAAGAAATTGTTGTCCTCATTTGTTGACCATAGACAGTAAATACTTGTGGAGTGATCTAAAAATTGTTTAAAAGAGGTTATTCCTATATTCTTATTACTTTTATTACTATTATTCGTAGCTCACCTTAGTCATAAATTCCTCTTCAAAACATGTCATAAACCTTTGAAGTACTTCATGGTAAACTTTTGGCAAATAATGAAGTTCAGATTTTAGAGTCACAAGCATTTGCTCTATGCTTTTTGGATCAAGCAATGCTAAACATTGGAACTTTCGGTACCAGTTGTAGCAGTCAACATTTGTTTTTAGCGTATATCCTAAGGTTTTTATTTTTAAACTCGTTCGCCTTAGGACTTGACAATAATGAAACCAGCAACTCTTCAGAGTGGCATTTGGAAATAATGCTGTTAACGCCATACGTAGATCCAATTCGTGATCAGTGTTAAAACTGGCGGCTTCAAATTGAAAAATGTTTTGGTTTATATTACCAAAAATATGTTCATATGCCTCCCTCGACTTTCTTGACAGCAAAATATAAATGAATGGATAAGTCTTGAAAGAGAGTAAAGTTTTACAATATGATCCAAAGGAAAATAACATTTACTTACATGATCATCAAAATGAAAATGGACAACAATTAGTTTTTTGTATCCACAAGATGGTACAATCCTAAAGTTTCCATCAATCGAATAATCCCGTTGGCCTGGATTGTTTTTTATAATTTCTGAAATGCTCGGTGATAGAAATATGGTATACGCAAAATTATCTTCCAAAATAGTTTGCCGATAGAATGTCTTTTGGTTATGCTTGGATATGCCATATTCAGCCAGGAAATCTTTGTTTTCGAATAGCAATTTGATTTCGCTTGGAGATTTTGGGTTTCTTTTCATTCCTTGACTTCGTATTTTAAATAGTTGTCTTTTGATCTTTGGGAAATTCACCAGTGATGCAGATTCCCCAGCTTTCTGGCACTCTTCTTCGAAAATTTCCTTTATACCTTTCCGTTTAAGGCTTTTTTCGCACTGGTCCTTAACAGCATTGAGGAGGTTTAATTTTTTGATCAATTCTTCTGGAGGTTCATGATTGTGGGGGCTATTGTTAAGCTGAGTGCAAATGTTTTTTGAGACTTTGACAGAAGCGTGGCAGTTATCAACATAGCAAACATAACGCGAATCGGTGGCGGTCTTACTTTTGATCTTGAACAACTGTTGTACACTGGGGAAAAACAGTAATTTTGAGTTTTTACGGAATCCCGAAACATATTTAAATTCGCTCGTGGGCATTATGCCTGAAAATCCTGCATCATTATCATTTCGCTCATAGTCTGATGGAATTTCATCCGCTATTCTGGGCTCCTCTTTAACTAGGATATCCATAAATGGATCCTTGTCCTCGTCTGATTGGGATTCATTTTCTGTCAGACGGTCCACACTTACAAGGATCTCCTCTTCCGGTTCCATTCTAAAGTTCTGAGCCATCAATAAGCCTCTGGTTGGTCCTATACTATATAGTTAACCATACACTGTTTTTTAATTCTGTTCCAGATTCATTATAAAGTTCTTTAAAGAAGTTCATTGACTAAAACTCTAGATTTTTTCTAGTTTTTCTTTAATAAATTACAAAAGTTAACAATCTTAAATTCTGTTTCGTTGTATTGCATTATTATAATCAGCTGTTTGCCCTGCCAACTCGGTTGTCTCTTTTATGCGATGAATTTCCCAATTTTATACGATGAGTACTTCTGTATGTGGATATCCTACGTAAAACCCGCCCGAATTCAAATTTTGCTTCAGAATGAACCGTTAGAAAAGGAAAACTGAAAATATAATTGAAAGATACGAGGAATAGTTTAGTTTTCTAAAGTAATTATTTTTATAACTCTAAAAACCCCCAGAAAAAAGCAAGCTTCAGTTTCATTAATATGTATATTTAGAAAACCTCCAACTATTATTGGGACATCTACATGTCTACACATATACGCTCAAGGATATTACATAGTATGTATGTATCTATAGTTAATATATAGGTATCGTGGAAACTAAAACGCATTTCTTGTCACAGTTAAAGTACGTATGTATAAAAAGTAAAAACAAAAACTTAAGGAACATTGTGTGTTGTTTTCTTTTTCTTTGTATGGCAACTTCTCCTTGGGCCACTTACGAATTAATAACGCATTAAAATCACCGGTAGAGACTACATGGTAAAACTAGAAGACGTGATGTGGCATTGTGGTACAATGAATGTACAAAAAGGTCTATAAAATGGTACAGCTAAAACTAGACTAAAATGATTCCTTGTGGGTAGACTAAACCAGCAGCAGCATCTCGTTGTCGTTGTCCAGCGGCTCGTCCTTGATCCGATTGCTAATTGGACCGGTGGCGTAGTCGCTTAGGAAGATGTTCGTGTCGTCGTGGTTCAGATGCAGCGTGGGAATCGCACCCGAGCGCAGCTCACCCGGCTGCTCGAAGCAATGCGACTCGAAGTGACGACAGCAGATGTGCTTGGAGTGGTCCCACTTTGGTATGGCCTCGATCTTGAGATTGTAGCACCACTTGGCGCGCTGATTGCGCTGCTCCGGAAAGTCCAGCATCGGCAGCTGGACGTCGTCCACCCCGCAGAGAACGCAGCTAATCGTCTTGTCGGTGGGCAGGTGGACCGAGCAGATATGTTTTCCCCGATATCGCTGAGTGTCCGTCAGCCGGAGTGCTTGGCACCACTGTCTCAGCAGTGCGGGATCTTTAAGAGTAAACATTAAAAGTTATACACTGGATTTGGAACTCTATGCCTCATTGCTTAAAAACCATTACTGGCACATTAAAATTTAGTGTTCAACTTAAACAACACTTTAGCACACTCACATAAAACAAAAGTAGAAAAATATAATAGTAAAAGGCATAAAAAAAAAAAAATTATATATAAAATAAAAAAATATTAGTTGTACTTCAAATTTAGTGTTAAATTTAAACAACACTTTAGCACACTCACATAAAACAAAAGTAGTAAATATTATATTAAAAAAAAATATATTTACAATATAAAAAAAAATAAAAAATATTAGTTGTAATTGAAATTTAGTGTTAAACTTAAACAACACTTTAGCACACTCACAATAAACAAAAGAAGTAAAATATAATAGTAAAAAGCAAAATAAAAAAAAAATCTATATATAATAAAACATAAAAAAATATTAGTTGCAATTGAAATTTAGTGTTAATCTTAAACAACACTTTAGCACACTCACATAAAACAAAAGTAGTAAAATATAATGGTAAACGGAATAAAAAAAAATTATATATATAATAAAAAATAAAAAAATATTAGTTGTAATTGAAATTGTTATAGTAATGTAATTAAAACAGCAATTGTAATGTAAATGATCTTTGAAATGTATTTGTAATAGATTTTTTAATAGTAAAACAATAAAATTGAAATTAAAAATTCCCATTTGAGGTAGAAACACAACTTACCACTGGGAAACTTGTGCAGCCTGACATTTCCATTGTGATGGCAGTCGGCCATGCAACAGGTAGCGATGGGCACGGGTGGTTCTATCTTTTTCTTAGATTCCTGCACGACTCCTTGAGGATTCAAATGCCTGGTGGGGATGGCGTTGCGCATGAGACGCCTCACCCCGATCAACTCGGGCTCGAAGTGGCGGCTGCAGATCAGACGCGTGTTCCGCTGGGACTCCTTGAACAGCATGCCCGTGGCCAGCTCCCAGTTGCGGATTGAGGTGCGGTTGTTGGGCAGCCGGAAGAGCTTGATGCCCTCGCCACGGAAGGCGCGGCAGTAGGGGAGGCAGCACTGCTTGACCTTCCAGGGCGGCACGATGCCAGGCGGCCAGGGATCGAGCTTGGAACGTCGCTCTCGCTTGATGCGAACCTCGGGCTCTATATCCTCATCGCACTCATCCTCCTCCTCCTCGTCGTCGTCCTCCTGCAGGCCATCCTCCTCCTCGTCGCCTTCGCTCTCAGCGCTGAGCTCCTGGCACTGTTCGTTCGTGAAGATCTCCTCCGGCACATTGTCGCCCAGTTCCAGCGTGGGCACCGCCCAGGGACGCAGCTTCCTCAGGCTGATGCAGTGCGGCTCGAAGTGCACGCTGCAGATCATAAACTTCCAGGGCCGCCGCTCATCGTAACGGATGCGCAGGTTGTGCATCCAACGCTCCTGTTGGCGTTTTGACTTGGGAAACTTGTAGATGTGAACGCCGTGCTGGGATCTCTGCCGCTGGCAGTGGACCAGCGAGCACTTATCGTAGCCGGACTTCACCTGGTTGTAGGTGATCTTCTCCTGCTTAACGGGCAGACGCAGCTGGCTCTTCCAGTTCGACTGGCTGACCTCTTGGTCCTCGTGCAGCTGCAATTCGGGTTCCAGAAACAGCATGGCATCCTCATCTTCCTCTTTTTCCTCCTTGATCTGTATGTTATTGGATTCTAAACTCGATCTCTTGTCCAGCCGGAGGTTAATGGCCTCGAAGTCGTTGTCAAAGAGCTCGGCGGGGGCCTTGGCTCCCAGCTTCAAGGTGGGCACACTTCCATGGACGAGACGCAAGTTTAGAAGGCAAACCGGATGAAAGTGGGCACTGCAGATGCGATAGCGCCATCGGTGGAGGGGATCGAACGGCACCTGCGTGTTGTGCTGCCACTTGAGGCACATGTCCTGGGAATGGGGAAACTTGTGCAGCGTCACGTTCTCAGTGGTCAGGTGATTCATACATCCCTCCACCTGACAAAACTTGCTGGACTTTTGAGGAGGAGCCGGCGAAGGTAGGCATAATTTGGGGACCTTTTGCTCCCTAGGAAGTGCCTCCGCTGGTAGGAAGTGCATCTCTTCTGTCTCCTGCGAGGCGAACTCATTCTCAAACACCTGATTCGGTCTCTTTGGTCCCAGGAGCAGCGTGGGCATCGCCCCCTTCTTTATCCTGGCGCTCTGGAAGCACTCCTGGTCGAAATGGTAGCTGCAAATGCGATAGCGCCACCAGAACTTCTCGTCCATGTCTACTTGGGTGTTGTGCATCCACTTTCTGGCGGATTCCGAGGAGGCGGGGAACCTGTGCAGCTTGATGGTACCGTCCACGTCCTCCACAGTCACCTGGCATCCCTCGACGGCGCAGTGGTTGGCATTGTACTGGTTACGAATGGCAGTAGGTTGGTAGAGGGCATGCTCGGTGGTGTAGGATTTGTCCACCTTCTCGTAGCTGTCCATGCGCTCAACGTGGCCCACCTCCAGGAGCACCTCCAGGGCCTGCATCTGCGAGTCTTCCTCCTCGGACTCGAAGTGCTCCATGCGAACAATGGGTTCCAGCATGGAGTTATCCTCCTGCAACTCCTCCTCCAGCTCCTCCATCTCCTGCTTGATTGTCCCTGCTTCCTGGTTCAGTTTAAGCGTCATCTCCTGCCACTCCTCTTTCGTGGGAATCTGATGCACGGGATCTCCTGGCAAGTTCAGGGTGGGAACGCTCCATGGATGCAGCCTTCGATCGTCGAAGGTGCAGCGTGACTCAAAGTGATTGCGACACACCTTGAGCATATATTGCTGCTGCTGCTCCGTAATCTCCAGTTGGCCATTCTCCACCCACATCCTCAGGATGTCTTTCCTCTGCGGCAAACCGTGTAAGAGAACCTTATCCCTTGGCCTGATCATATCACATCCCTTAACCGCGCAACTAACGATTCTCACGCGTCGGTTGCTCCGAGCAGAGTGGTAATTATCCTCGAGGAATCGATTTGGCACATGCTCGGGAAAACTCTTGACACTCAGCTGATAGAGAATGCAGTAATGCAGCGGGCAAAGCTGGCCGATCGCCGGCTCCTCGATGTCCAAGTGGCGAAGCCAAGCTCTTCTGAGTGGCTCTTCTTGGGGCAAGTTGTAGGAAAGGTTTTTAGACAGCTCTTTGCACTCGGGATAACAGCAGGTTACCTCCGTAATTTCTCTCTTAAAAGGCTTTAAGATTTTACCCAGATTTTGCTGATCCGTCTGGAAAATATCCGGCGAGGAGTGTCCTAATTCCAGGGTGGGTATCGCTCCCGAGATTAGACCACTTTTGTCGAAGAGAGAGGACTCGAAATGCGCACTGCAGACTTTCAGCCTGCCCAGCTGCTCCTTGGCAACTCTTAAGCGGAGGTTATACATCCATTTGTCGGCCAATACGAATTGTTTGGGAAATCCACTGAAGGGAGGATCTCCAGGCTGCCAAATGCGTTCGCAACCGGGCGCACAGCAAACCTCCGTTTTGCTCTGGCAGAGATTTGCGGGATTGGGCAGCATTTGGACATCCTCCTCATTGCCAAGCAAAAGAGTTGGAAGCGCTCCGGGTCGCAAACCTTTGTAGGCCCCAAAGCAAAAGGACTCGAAGTGCCGCTCGCAGATGAGGTGCTCTCCCTGGAGGAGATCCATGGAGTTGATTTTGAGGTTGTTGCTCCAAGCTTCCAGTTGAGCAGCATTCTTTGGCACCTTGTAGTAACGCAGGCGTTCTCCATTTCCATCTTTTACACATCCCTCCACCAAGCAGTGCTTTTCAATATCATCTCTAGTCAACTCCAAAGTGGGAACCGATCCCTCAATCAAATCCAAAGTCTGCGTTTCAAAGCATTCTGGGGCAAAGTGAGACTGGCACACCTTGAATCCATGACTGCTGGCCTGCATGGAGCGATGCCTGCAGGCGGCTGCCCACTTTCGTATTGTGGCCATATCCTTGGGATACTCATAGAGCCTTATTCCATTGCCTTCAGCTTGGAAACAAGACAACACTGAGCAATAGCGCTCCCGGATAAACGCCATTGCCTGCTCGGTGTCCTGGCCATCGGCGATGTTCCCATTGTGCCTGGCATTCGGGATGACATATCCTTCGTGTCCCAGGTTCAAGGTGGGCTCTGCCCAGCTGCGTAGTTGCTTCTTGCATATAGCATCCGGTTCGAAGTGCGATTGGCACACATAGAGCTCCTGGGGATCCACGAGGCGAGGCTGCTGATTCGTGTTCACCAGCCAACGGAGCAACGCTTGCTCCTCGGAGGGGAAGCGATAGAGCCGTACTTGGCTATTTCCAAACTGTCCACAGGTGGGTATGCAACATATCCTGATCCTGCCGCGAGGACTGGGACTTGCACTACCGCAGGGACTGCTTAACGAAGCGAGATCGGTCTTGATTCTCAGAGGAGTTAGCGGAGTTAGCCTAGAATTGCTATTGGGAGTTCCACTGCGTGACTCTTGACTGGTATTCAAGTGAATCTTGTCCTCATGGTTGAGATGCAAGGTGGGTAAAGCCCAGGGTTTCGGGTAATCCGACTCTAGAACCTCTGACTCAAAGTGCAGCAGACAGATGCGATAGCTTTTATGCCTCGATTGCTCGTAGGCCATTTTAGTGTTGTGTAGCCATTTGAAAAGCGTTTGCTCCTTCTCGGGAAGCTGGGTAAGCCTGAGATCATTTTTGGAGGAGCATTCAGGCACAGCACATTTCATTTCATCGGCTAAACACTGCAAGTCATCCAAGTCTTGTGGGGCCAGAACTTTGGGTAAGTACACCTCTTCAAACAGCTTCATAAAGTGTAGATTACATAGAAGACCATCAGTGATCAGAGGGAGATTTAGATGGGAAATCCAAGAGTGTCTTATCAGCATATTTTGAGGCAACTCCACCAAGCTCGACGAAGAGTTTTCGCATTCGATAACCAAACAAGAGCCTTTGTTTCTGTAGATGTTGTAACTCTTTTGCTCCAGTTTTAAGGTGGGAACTGCCTGCTCCGTCAGCTTTCCGTTTTCCACAACTTCCGCCTCAAAATGCTCCAGACAAACACGAATATCCCTGAAAACCGTGTCCATAGAAAGCTTCAGGTTATGTTGCCATTTTCTTGAGAGATTTCTATCATCAGGCATTGAAAGCAATTGCTCAACATCCTCATTTCCGCAGCTGCTGATGCAACATCTTTCCGGCTTACTCTCCCTCGGATTCCTCGTCTTTGATTCCCTCTCCATCTGCATCTCCACCTTGATCTCCCTCTCTAACTGAATCTCCATCTTCAGCCTCTGCATCGTCTGCACTTCCACAGGGTTCCACTTGCTTTTCCGAATATCCGGCGGCTCTGTTAGCTTCCTCTTGCGGCAGTGTTTCAGGCTCCAAAGCCGAAAAACCGAAGGCTGTGGCTGCGATTGCTCCTGCTCCCGATCCATTCCGTTGCACGAGTACCTGAGTGGCTCATTGTGACCCACATTCAAAGTGGGTACCGCATTCTGCTTGAGCTTTCGGGTACCGAGCACCTCCGGCTGGAAGTGCTCAATGCAAACCCGACCGATGCAGTCATCCGGATCCAGGTGGAGATTGGCGCACCACTTGAGCAGCAGCCGGCGGTCCTTGGGAAAACCAAAGGTGCTGAGCAGGTGAAAGGCAGTGCGCTCCTTTCGGCAATGCTTCAGGCAGCAAATGGGAGTCACATTGTTGGCGGGCTTTTCGCGACGCAGGGGGAGGATCGGAGGAGTGGGTGGTACATCCGGCAGGAAGTGATCTTCCTCCTCTCGATCATCCATTTCTTCATCCCTACAATATTCCGCTTCGTCATCCGTTGGATGTTCGGCATAGGTCTCGACCAATTCAAGTGGATCGAAGTAGTGGTCGCCCCTCTCATCTTCATCTTCAATATCCTCCTGCTCATTGTGCTCCGTCTCAGCCTCCACATCTTCCTCCTCCTCCTCGTCGAGTGGCTCCCTTTTGGGCTTCAGTTCCTCCTCATCCTCGCCCACCTTAATAGCCTCATTGTCGAAGACCAAGCCCTCATCATGGCCCAGTTTTAGTGTAGGCACCGCTCCCGTCTTCAGCTTCAGTTTGCCCCGCACCTGGGCCTCAAAGTGATCCGCACAAATCCGGCCGCGACACTGATCCGGAGTCAGCCGAAGATTGGCCCGCCATTTCTCAAGTAGCTCCTCACTTCTCGGATATCGGTAGGTGCGCAGATCGTTGTCGATGCTCCGCCGTTTGCGGCAATGACCCAGAGCGCAGGTGGGCGTGAAGAACCCGGGTATGTTCTTGGGATTCTCGTAGATCGGCTGCTCCTGGTGGCCCAGTTGCTGCGTGGGCATGGCCCAACTCCTCAGCTGCTTGCCGTCAATGCAGCGCCGGTTGAAGTGGGCACTGCACACCCGCGTCGACCGATCCACCTCGTCGGGCTCCAGGCGCAAATTGTGACGCCACTTGAGGTGCTGCTGCTTGCCGGTGGGAAACGGAAAGAGCCGTGCTCCGTGCTCCAGACGACTGCGTCCGCAACTGTGCACACAGCACTTTAAATCGGATAGGGTTTTCTTGAATTTAACCTGTAACGTAAACAAGTCAGGATTGGTTAACCATTCTCCTCCTGCACTCAGAAAAAAAATCGCCCTGAATTTTAGAAAATCAACTTGAAATTTAAAAAAACGTTTCTGTTGTTCAGAAATATTTTTCTAAAAAATAAGACAAATTTACCCTGATTAGATCAGCACCTCTAGTTATCCACCTTTAGAAAAATGTCCTGTTTTTCAGAAATTTATCTTTGAAACTCAGAAAAAAATCGCCTTACATCTTAGAAAATCTCCCCAATCGGTAGGCTAGGAAAGTGTGTGTTCAATCCCACGTCGAGGCGGACATTTTTTGCGTCTTTATATTTTTTTTATATTTTTTTTTATATTTTAATACAAACTAAGATTTGGGTAACTAACACTAACACCGTCAGAGGGGAGTAACCGGCATAACTCCCGATTCCCCCATTTTTATTTTCTTCTTCTTATTAAACTTTGGATTTAAAGAAATTTTTTTTCTAAAAATTAAAGGCGATTTTCTAAAAATCAAGGCGATTTTTTTTCTTCGTGTGCTGACAGGGAACTCACCTGTCTAGTCCTCGACTCTTTCGCTTCCTGCAAGGTTTCCAAATCCGGCTTGACGTCTTCCGACTCGGAGAGCTCCTGCTTGATGCTGATCCCACCAGATTCATCGTGTATTCTCCGCTGCCTTCCGAAAAGGTTACTCTGCAGCTCCGCCGGATTTACCTGGAACAGATCCTCCGTCTCGTCGTGACCGAGCTCCAGAGTAGGAATCGATCCTATGTTCAGTCGCGTCTTGCCAATACAAATGTCCTCGAAGTGGGCATTGCAGATCTTGTAGCGCTCGCGTTCCAGGAAATTAAGATGCTCCAGCCGCAGGTTGTGCTGCCAGCGCTGGAAGAGATCGGGGTCCTTGGGGAAGCTGTTCATCTGCACCTCGTCGAAGCGGCGCGTCTTTCCACACGTAGGCACGATGCACTTGAACACCGGATCCACATACCGCTCCTCCGGCTTGGGATTCGGTATCAGCTCGATCTGGGCGTCGTCGTGGCCCAGCTGCTCCGTGGGTATGGCCCACTTGTACAGGTGCTTGGGTCCGATGCAGTCCGCCTCGAAGTGCTTGTTGCATATCCGCACCCCGGTGCAATCCACGGGGTTCATCTTGAGATTGTTGCACCACTTCCACAGCAAATCGTCGTCTTCGGTGGGAAAGCGGAACAGGCGCACCTCCGCCTGTTCCTTCGACGCCTCGCAGCCCTCCACCACGCAGTGCTCGTCCGCAAAGGCCTGCGCTTCGTTGGGATAGATGTCCTCGTCGTCGTGACCCAATTCCAGTGTGGGAATGGCCCCGGCACTCAGTCTGCGGCCATTAAACGAATGCGTCTCAAAGTGGCGGGAACACACGCGATACTGCGCCCTCATCGCTGCCCTTGGACGGGTCTTGATGTTGTGCATCCACTTGCGCAGCTGCGTGGGACTATGCGGCAGCCGGAAGAGCTGGACGCCCTGCGCCCGCGTCTTGCGGCAACTCTCCACTATGCACACGCGCTGCAGGCACAGCTTGCTGGCTTTTAGTTTGGCCGGATTCTGGTAGATTTTCAAGCCAGGCGGGGAGTTCAAATCCAGTGTGGGCACCGCCAGCGGCACCGGACACTTCTTGCTCAGCACATGTGGTTCAAAGTGAGCCGAACACAGCCTGCGTTGGGCACTGCCCACCATGGGAACCTGCAGATTGTGCGACCACTTGGCCAGCGTGGAGCGATTGAGCTTGGGGAAGCGATAGAGCTGAACGTTGTGCAGCGCCCGAACCTTGCGGCAATGCGGCAGACAGCACCTGGGCACCCAGGTGGGCTTCACGGAAGCCGGCAGCTTGGTTTTCGTGTGCGCTCGTCGCTTGTACAGCATCGAATGCTCTGGATTCTCATAAAGATTCTCTATGTTTCCAGCCAGATTCAGTGTGGGTATTGCCCAAGGACGCATCCGTTTCCCTATGCAGTGTGCCTCGAAGTGAAGATTGCAAATCCTCATGCTCGTCAGCTTAGTAGCCTCTGTTTGCAGGTTGTGCGCCCACTTGGCCAACACGGAAGCCTCCTCCGGCGGCCGATAAAGCTTGATGTCGTCCACACTGGGATTCCGCTTGCAGGTCTCCACGCAGCACTCGCCCTGCTCCTCGCCATTGTTGGGCGCCGTGGGTCGCGCATAGAACTCGGTGACCTGTTCGGGTGTGGGCAAAGGATAGGGGATATTCTCATGACCCAGGATTAGAGTAGGCACCGCCCATTTCTCCAGCCTCTTGTTGCGCAGGCAGCGATCCTCGAAGTGCACTTCACAGATGGCGTCGTTGAATAGTTTACTGCCATCCGGAACGGGCCGCTGGAGATTCCCACACCACTTGGTCAGCAGCGAGACATTACTCGGGAAGCGATGAAGATTTGCATGATCCCTGTCTCGATTCCGTTTGCAAACGGAAACGCAGCAGGTTTCCCGGATATTCAGCTTCTTGATCACGTCCGGATTCCGATGAATATCCTCCTCATCGTGGCCCAAATTGAGCGTGGGCACTGCAAACGGTCGCATACAACCGCCGATGCAGTAGGACTCGAAGTGCAGACTGCAGATCCGCATGCCCTTGTGCATCTTTTCCTCTGGGATCTTTAGGTTGTGGCACCACTTGCGCATCTGCTCGGGCCGACGCGGAATGGTGTGGAATGTGATGTTCTCGTTGTTGTGTCGCTTGCTCTCGCAACTGGGCACGCAGCAAATGTCCATGCTGTCGCTGACATTCATCGCCGAGGATCCACCCATGGCCAGGTAAGAGGAACTCAGCTCCGGATCAACGTAGTGAGAGGTCGCCGAACTGGCCGAGGAAGATGTGGATGCCGCCGAGTGGCGCTGGTAGGATTTGGTGCTGTGCAGATGCTGTTGCAGCGAGTGCTGCGAATGGTGATGCGGCGTCTGATGCGCCTGGAAGCCACCGCTGTGGGAGCTCGAGGGCGTCGGCGGCGGCCACAGTTCGTTCTCGTAGATGTTGAAGGTGTCCGTGTGACCCAGGTGAAGTGTGGGAACAGCACCTGCAAGGTAAATAATAATAAATTAATTGCTTGTTCCATATTAATAACTAGACCTCGGATGTTGCATATTTGTCCATTTTTGGTCCGATTTTTACCAACATTTCTAGGTTTATATAGCATATTTTTATTTATAGCGTTGATCAACCAACTTAATGGTTATAAAACGCATAATTTAGAACATAGAAACAAATAACTGGAAACATAACATGAGTGTGGACATTTCTAGGTATGTACAATGTACATTGTACATAGGTGTCATATTTTTCAAATGTAATAAATTCGGATGCATATCGGAAATATGCAAATTATATGCAAAAATATATGCATAAAATATGCAAAATATGCAAAATATATGCAAACAACTGGAGGCTCAAATTTTTAATGCAGCCCTCTGGTTTTCTAAGGAACCTTCAGGGCCAAAAACTATTCTGCCCCTTTTACTATTTTTGTCCCTTCTTGCCTACTCGTTGAAAATATAAATAGGGTTTTCTTAAATTTGGGAAAAAATTAGATATCTCAGAAATTACGAATAGGAACAAACAATTTTCTTCGGGTAAATTAGGTTGGCTATGAAATGGTCAATCTTGAATAGCTGAGTTAATTTTATATTTTGCATATGCTTTTTTGCAAATATGCAAAAAAAATAAAATATGCCGTTAATTTTAAACTATATTTTTATTGAAAAGAACTTTTGTGTTTTCGGAACTTATCTATCTTTATCCTTTAAAAATATACAAAATCCGAGGTCTATTAATAACTCAATCAAGACTTACCCGGTGATAGCTTCCGCAGACCCAAAGCCTCTTTGATAAAGTGGGCGCTGCATATTTTGTGATTCTTCCCGCGATACACTCCCGGATCCAGGCGCAGATTGTAGCACCAGCGACGCAGGAGCACCTCATCCCTGGGAAAACGATATAGCGACATGTTGAAGTCAGAGGAACGGCTGCGCCGGCAAAAGTTGAGGCAGCAGCGCTTCTCCTCCACATACAGATTCTTGGGGTTGTCGTGGATCTTGCCATACTGGGCACCCAGATGCAGAGTGGGTACCGCCCAAGGCTTCAGCCGGAACTTGCCGATGCAGCGCTCCTCAAAGTGGCGGCTGCAGAAGTGACGCGGCTCCTTGGCCTGCACAGGAAGTCGGGCGTTCTGGCACCACTTGATGAGGCTCTTGATGTCCTTGGGAAAGTTGTAGAACTTCAGGTTGCTCTCGCCCCGCTGACTGGTGCAGTGAGGCATGCTGCAACGGGCTACTTCGCCGGTGGTGAAGGTGTTGGTCAGCTCCCGATTTTGATAGAGATTCGCCACGTCGTCGTGACCCAGGTTAAACGTGGGCACTGCCCAATAGCACAGGGAGTACCGGTTGATACAGCGCTTCGGGAAGTGCATGCTGCAGATGCGGAAATTGGCGTAGCTGGCGGCGGGTATGTGGAACATCTTGAGATTGTGCAGCCACTGGTTAAGGTACTTCTCGTCCTTGGGGAACGTGAAGAACTGCAGCGTGGGGCTGGTGCTCTTCCGCACTCCGCACAGCGGCACACAGCACAGAGCGTCCTCGGAGTCGTCCAGCGTGGATGAGTGTGCCTGTGGACCAGCAATCGCTCCTCCATGGATTGAACTATCGCTTCCGTAGGCATTATTGTAGCTACTCTCCTGAACGCTGTAGGATGACTCGCTGGTCGAGTTGCTAAAGCTGCGCTCCAGCTTTACATTTACCTCGTTCTTGAGTGCCGAAGCCGCAAACATGGCTGCTCCATCGGCGTTTGCCTGACGCTGCTGCAGGAGTGAACTCAGTGCAGCCGTGGCCGGCAAGGAAGAGCTGGATGCGTTCGGTTTGTGGTGCGGGGCGGTGGGCACTGTGAAGAAGAAAAAAGCTTGTTAATATTTTACTTATCAGCATGTGTAAAAGTAACATAATATTGTTAATCCTTTTTTTGTACTTTATAGGTTTAAATATGCCTCTATTTAAATGTAAATTAATAAACAATCCCATCCAGACCCTCATACATATCTTTTCTAAAATGAAATCTTTTAGGGGTCAAGTGGTTATCTGTTCGTGTCATGAAAATGTATTTAGATTTGGAAATCAGAATTAGGAAAGATTTTAAAAACATATATATTTTTCTTTGGAAGCCCTACTGTATGCACATTAGGGCATTCAAAAAAACGAAATCCCATCCTCAACCCTTCATATGGTAGATTAAAGTGAGCAAAAAATGTATGTGAAAACTAAACATTTTTTTTCGAAATTTAGACCTTACGAAACGTTCTATAGGTTTTCTTAAAAATTACACATACGACACGTATAACAGTTCGAATTTGGTTTCTAGTCTTGTAAAATTATGATTTTCCTTGAAATAATTTGTTAGAAAAGGGAGAGCAAAACATCAAAATAATCTTTGATTAAAAGACTTTTTGATCGAAGGCAACAGTGCGTATGGGTGATAAACTTAGAAGCCAATTCGCAAACCCTAAAACGCGATTTTTCCTAGAAATTAATTTTGGTATACCTTAAATACCTTAATGCGCACCGTACGAATGTGGACCACCCTAATGCTCATAGCATAGAATTTAGAGACATGTAGGCATAATTTATATCCCTTTGCGTAACTCCCTTCCTTTAAACTTACTTTCCATGGTGGCCATATGGCAATCCTGTAGCTTGTAGTTCGTCTGGTGCTGCTGCTGCTGCGAGTGCGAGGCCGCGGATGACTGTGCCCCCGTGTAGTACTTGCCGCAGAAGTAGGGTGCGGCCAAACGGTGTTCGTGGAGCTCGAGAGCCGTCTGATACCACAGTCGGCAGATGGGACAGTCGAAGCGCTGCTGGAACTTGTGTTGCGGCAGGTGGGCGTATAGCTGCTCACGGGTGGCGAAGGTCCCAGAACATATCTGCAAAACGGACAGTCAATGAAACAGGGGTTTCAGAAAATCTAAAAAATATTTCTCCTACATTGCAGACAAAGCTATCGTATTCGTGCTGCATATACTCGTGCGCCTCGCACTCGGCGATCGTATCGAAGTGCTTGCCGCAGTACTTGTGGCAGAAGAACCTGTCTGCCCGGTGGTGTTGCTTGTGCCGCTGCAGCTCCTCGGTGGTCATGAAGGACATGGGACAGGTGCTGCACTTGAAGTCGTACTCCTGCATCCCGCAATTGCTCTCGGCCACGTGACGCAAGTAAGCCTGCTTCTTGAAGAAGACCTCCTTGCAGCGCTGGCAGATGGGCAAGCTTTCGGCACTCCGATCCGATTGCTGTTTGCGGCGCAGAAAGCTGTTGGTATTCTGAAAAATAAAAATTCAAATTTTAGTTAATTTGTCTGATCATAAGTATATCACACTCACCCTTCCGTAGGACTCATCCTTGACGGTCAGCTCCACTTTAGGACTCAACATGTCCTCGCTGAATTCGCTGAACTTGCTAAAGTCCGCAAACGGCGTGTTGTCGTCTATATAGTTGGACTTGTAGGAATGTTCGTCAATGGGTTCCGCTATATAAAAAAAAATGTTTTTCATTATTTATTAATTTTATATTCATTGTAATAAATATTTTTCTGCAAACGTAAATATTTCAATAAACTCTGCGCAGAGATGAAAAATTCTGTACCCTTTGTTTGTTTCTATGGTTTCGAATTTTATTTTGAACTCCCCTTTGGCTGCTGATAAGAGTGAATAGCGCCTACACAAAATTTATAGATAACCGGGTGCTCTGCAGATACAGATACTTTTTCTATTTACATTATTTATGGTACAACTTGGCCTTTGAACATTTGAACTATGTGTACAAAAAGCATCAATTGTTTTGGACTTATTGATTAACCAAAAAGTAGAAAAATATATTTACTTTTCTTTCCTATATTATCAATTATTAACTTTCGCTTTATTTAGATATGTATATGTTTTTGTGTGGATCATATCAAAGAAAAATTGCATATATGAAATACCATTGAGATAATTAATTATAGTCATATCATTGTTTTTGGGCGGGCGTTGTTTTCTGTGCGTACCTAATAATATTTGTTTTACTCTCTGGATTCCGCCCCGCCCACTCGCCCACCAAATTGGTAGTGCAGGGAGTACGGTGCGGAACCAATAATTTGCAGGTTAGTCTAGGGGAGCACGTTACATAAGATGCGACTTGGAAGACAGTCCCCCAGTCAACCCATTCCAAAAACTACGAAAAAGGGGAGATGATATGCACACTTATTGGGTATACGGCGGGTATATGTGTGCGTACGAATCGAACTGAATAGGTTACGCCGGTAGTATAAAGCATCTATCCGAGTATACATTTGCTAAATGGATACATACCGACAACCGTACTTTCGCACATACCGAGAGACGCGCAAACAGAACAAAATTGTACGGTACGGAACCGAACCGAACAGAATACAGAGATACAGATACAGAGCCGTAGGTTGACGAGCGATGGAACCGAATCCGAATCCGAAAACCATCCGAACGAAACAAGCGCCAAACCTCAGCGAAACTCAACAAACGTTTTATTGATTCGACGCCAAAATGGAGCTGAAATTACGCTACTTATAGGAAAATGGCTCTTAACTAAGTTTGGCGTTTGGTGTGTTTATTCTGTATCTGTTTCTATGGCCAAAACGGATTTTGCGCTCAAGTTTTATGAATTTCCTGGAAGATTTTAATAAATTTAATACATTTTTATATATTTTTTATTTATTTATTATTATTAAGTAATTTTTAAGTGCATTAATAATAATGAATAATTAGGAGTTCATTTTATATATTTTCCTGGCTAGCCTTCATTTTGTTTAACTCTAAACTTTAAATGTTTATAATATTATACATTTAAAGGTTCTCTAGAAATATTTTTAGGTATACACAAAAACCATAAAAGTTCCATATTTAAGGGCGGGATAAAATTACTACTGTTTTAACTAATGTTATTATAATTATTCACTACTAACTCACATTTTATTAATATTTCTGAATAAATACATTTAAAGGTTCTCGAAAAGTCTTTCTAGGTATATACAAAAAACCATAAATATAAGTTCCTTATTTAAGGGCGGGATAAAATTACGACTGTTTTAATTTTATTGTAATTATTGACTACTAACTCACATAAATATAAGTTCCTTATTTAAGGGCGGGATAAAATTACTACTGTTTTAATTTTATTGTAATTATTGACTACTAACTCACATTTTATTAATATTTCTGGATAAATACATTTAAAGATTCTCGAAAAGTCTTTTTAGGTATACAGAAAAACTATAAAAGTTCCTTATTTAAGGGCGGGATAAAATTACTACTGTTTCAACTAATGTTATCATAATTATTCACTAGTAACTTACATTTTATTAATATTTCTGGAGCCGGGGGCGGGGCCATGGGATTGGGGGGCTGCTGGAAGGCCTCCATGGGTTCGCTTTTGATATAGGGATAGCTGCCGGTCATGATATCGTGGCCCATATAGGACCTTTGTTGGCTGAGATGCTGCGGAAGTTGCTGGTGTAGCTGCTGTTGCTGTTGTTGCTGTTGCTGTTGCTGCTGCTGGTACTGCAGCAGTTGGTTGTGGGCATATGCCACTGTATTGGCCCCAAGGCCGTAGCTCGGCCCACCACCCACCGCCGCCCCACTGACATTGAGGCCACCGCCAGCGGCGCCATAATAACCCTGCGCGTTGCCACCCCCCGGCCCATAGCCACCCCCTCCGCCTCCCATGATACTGTTGTTGTTGCTGCTGGTGGCCTTGCAGGAGGGGGCGGGGGCGGGGCCGAAGGCCGAGTGGGGTGTGGGGTAGGAAGCAACATGTGAGTACCAATTGGCGTGCTGCTGCTGTTGCGACGGCTGCTGCTGCGTTTGTTGCTGCAGGGACATGGGCGTCGCAGGGGGCGGATAGTGGGGGTGGGCGTAGTGGTGGGGGTGGGGGTGGGCGTGATGGGGGTGTTGTTGTGACATCACGGACGGTTTGCCTGCTGTTTATCCTGCTCCTGCTCCTCTTTCGCCTTTTTTGTTGTCCTGCAGCCGAGTTAAGGGCGCGTTTGCTCTCTTTTTCGCAAGCTTTTGGCGTCTTTTATATACCAGTTTTTCATCGGCCCTCGACTATGTGTATGTATCGAACTGGCATTGTTGCTATTGTCCTGCGGCATTCGCATTTTCCAACTCCTGCGACCCGCACAATTCACACATGGCACTCCGCAACTGCTCGGCAATTGCAATTCTTATTGGCTCTGGGCGGCGGTTGGATATTGACCATTTTACGCTTCCTTTCGCTCCCGAACGCGCGACGAACGAAACGTCCAGCGAGACACAACAACAAACTGTTTGTGGGGCGCACTTAGCGGTGGAGCCACTGCAGCCAGTTATCGATGACAGGTGCGTGGGGCTTATCGATGCGGAAGCTTAACTATCGCAAGGGGAGCTTTCGGAATAGTTTTTTAATTTCAAAAAATGGTTAAGTGTTCCTTTTTCAAATTTCGAAAATCAGGTTCGGGACACCGCGATCTTTTTTAAAGCTTTCTTTTTCTAATAGTATATAGAATTTCTACAAAAGTTTATTTAACTGTTTTACTGTTCTAATTTAGAGAGAAATTTTACTAATATAAATAATACCCTTTTTCGCTGTTTATACAAATCTTAATCTAATTGAACTGGACAGAAAAAAATTCCAATTTATTTACATTTATATAGAACTATGTAATTTTGGGGCCCACCTCATCCTTTTTTACAACTTTCTTTTTCTAATCGCATATCAAATTTCTAGAAAAGTTTATTTAACAGTGTCACTATTCTAATTTAAAATATCTTAATAGAAGAGATATAAATACTACCCATTTTCACTGCTTATTTAAATTTTAATTTATTTAAACTGCACAAAAACGAATTGAAATTTATTTAAACTTAACTAGTTAATTTTGGGACCCACCAGGCCCACACGCTGCTTCAGCTGCTCCTTAATCTGATCCTCATCCGCCAGAAACTGTTTCTCAGCCAGGCGCACCAGCGTCCTCCTCAGCTGCGACTTAACTTGCGTGACCTTTGTGGAGTTCATGGCCGATATGGGCACAATGCTCTCGAATTTCAGCACCTGTTTAGGACGCAGTTCCTCGGGACACTGTTCCAACCCACTGGCCAAGTTGTCGATCAACGGCTTAACTCTGGTGAGGATCTCGTGGGCACCCTCCTTGTCCATTTTGTTCAGCAGCAGGACACAGGGCTTCTCCAGCAGCGCAGGATCGTAGAGCTCCAACTCCTTGTTCAGGGCATATATGTTGGCCACACAATCGCGATGCGGATGCCGAGGACTCAGCTGGAAGCCAAAAATGTCCACCATAAAGAGCAGCAGGCGGGTGCGTTCGATGTGCTTGAGGAACTTGTGGCCCATGCCGAAATTGGCGTGGGCTCCCTCGATGAGACCAGGAAGATCGGCCACAGTTATGGAGCGCAGGTCACGGTACTCGATGGTTCCAATCTGGGGTCGTATGGTGGTAACTGTGGAGGAAGGGAAGTAAGATTATCTAAATTAAAAGGATTTCTATAAAGACTTACAGGGATAGGCTGCAATCTTGGGCTTCGCATTGGAAACAGCCTTGAGCAGCGTGCTCTTGCCGGCATTGGGGAATCCCACTAGACCCACATCCGCTATGAGCTTAAGATCCAGATTCACTGTGCGATTCTCGCCGGGACGCCCCAGGAAATTGGTGGCTGTGCATCCGCCGGTTCCTCCGCCCGCCACAATGCAGGTGGCCTCGTTCTCGTCCAGATCGGCGATGAGTTTTTGCCGGTCGTCGTACACCTGGACGCCCACTGGCACCTCAATCCTCTGATCGACTCCACGTCGTCCGAAAATGCTCGCCTTGCTGCTATCCTCGCCGCTGGAGGCCGCCACTCGCTTGTCCTTCATTCCCTGGACGACCTTGCGCAGGGTCAGTCCCTCCTTGGCCACCAAGTAGACGCAGCCGCCTTGGCCACCGACTCCTCCGTACTTGGGCAGCCCGTTTCCGCCATGTCCGCCGCGAACCGCCAGGCGCAGGGTGTCCAGGAAGCTGGGCCGGAAGTGGGCACGACCGGGCTGAGTAATATACTCGTTTGATAAGTCAGAAATTAGCTATTAAATCTTAATTCTCACAGATTTGGTGGATTTCAACAGGAATTTAAACAGCTGCACCATCGCATTATACAATAGTGATGAGCGCTCGGCTGTGACTGTGACTGGTTCACTGTGACCGTGAAGAGAAATATATCGAACTCATGTTCCAAAGTTCTTTAATGGTTATTGCTAAAAAAAAAAAGTATTTGCGCTAAATTTTTAGATATTCTAATTAAATGGCGATTTTTTCTATAATTTGAACGTGAAAGAAAAAGAAATATATCTATATCATGTTAAATAGTTCTTTAATGATTATTGCTAAACAAAAAGTATTTGCGCTGAGTTTTTAGAAGTTCTAAATAAATGGCTATTTTTTTTTATAAAAAAAAGGATATAATAAATTTATCAAGTAATATATACATCACTGATGTGGTTATGCTGAACGCGCCCAGTGACTTTGAAACTATCGATAACGATATCAGGCCGCATTGAACAGCTGATTGATAAAAACAATAAAGAAGAAGACGCAGACCAACACGTGCGATTGTTTATAGTGAAATGGAAGCGGGTATTTGCTATATAAAACCAGAGTAAGTAAACTTACTTTACTTCTTATTAATTAACTAACCTACTTAATATAACCCTCAGATACCTGGTAACTGAAGCCAATATCGGCAGTGAGGCGGTTATAACCGAAAACAGCGAGACAAACAAGAGAAAACGCGAGGATGGCGAGGAAAAAGTCGAGGGCGGCGGAAAAAAGAAGTGGGATAAAAAGGAACGCAAGCGTGGACAAAACAAGGTTAGTTAGGGTTTTTAGTAATAAGGTATTAACTATTAGTAAAATAATTATACCCACAGAATCGCCCAGTTTTCAAGGACGAACGATACTCGCATCTGTGTCACTCGCTGATCGATGGAACCGGTGGAGAACCCTGTTCCCTGGCCAACTGCCGCTATGTGCACGATCTGGACGCCTTTCTGGCCGCCAAGGGAGAAGATCTTGGGCCCGAGTGCTATGTGTACACCACCAAGGGCTATTGTGCCCGCGGTGTAAGTTGTCGCTTCGCCAAGGCGCACACGAATGAGCAGGGCAGGAACCTCAAGAGGGAGGACTACGACGAAAAGGCTCCTCCAACGACATGCAATGGAGTCAGTTCAGGTGGGGTACCGAAATGCATCATTGATTCCAATGTTGCCAGATGAAAATTCAGCTTTCCCCCTAAAAAATCTCAAACAGCCGATATATCCCCCTAAAAAATTCAGTTTTCCACCTAAATTCAAAAAATCAATTAATTTCGAACATGTACAGTAAATAAGAAATATCTCAATATGACGTTGTAGAAATGTTAGGACTGGAAAAATCTGTTTACTTGAAAGAGAGTCGTGTGAAGTATTTTTTTTGATAGTTTGGAAATGTTTTAGGAAGTCACAATATTTAGTGCTTTTTCCAAACATTTGGGTAATAAAATGTCCGGAAAAAAACCTCTAAAAGTCCCCCAAGCACTTCAAAAAACCCCTAAATCTAGGAGGAAGCCCCCTGATCTGGGAACACTGATTGATTCTTATGCTGTTATATTATATATATTATATTCTTTATTTTTTAGATCTCCAAGTGCGCCTACGAAAACATGAATACGATTTTAAGCGTAGCAAGGAGCTCATTAAATTGGCAGAAAAGCTAAGAGATGAGCGAAAGCAAAGGGAGCAACAGGAGAAGGAGAAGTCTGTAGAGACTGCTGAGGAAAACCCAGCCAACGAAACCACCGACAAACTGGAGGAGGAGGAGCACACGGATTCCAAGGAGCTGGATAAGCCCACTGGTTGCGCCATTGATGACTCCACCGCCGGCAGAGATGCTGACAAAAAGCCGGCCGTTGACTTCCGCGAGAAACTCGTCCTGTCTCCTCTGACCACGCTGGGCAACCTGCCCTTCCGGCGGATCTGCAAGGAGTTCGGTGCGGACATCACCTGCGGCGAGATGGCCTGCGCCCAGCCGCTGCTCAAGGGCATGGGTCAGGAGTGGGCTCTGACCAAGCGCCACCAGAGCGAGGACGTTTTCGGGGTGCAGCTGTGCGGAAATAATCCCAATATGCTTAACCAGGCGGCGCAGGTTATCCAAGAGACCGCGCAGGTGGACTACATCGATCTGAATATAGGCTGCCCGATTGATCTGATTTACCAGCAGGGAGGCGGCAGCGCTCTGATGCGACGGACCAACATCCTAGAGCTGACCGTGCGCAGTTGTGCCGCCCTGTCGGATTGCCTGCCGTTCACCGTGAAGATGCGCACAGGGATCTATGCGGACAAGAGTGTGGCGCACGATCTGCTGCCGCTGGTCGAGGAGTGGGGCGCCTCGGCGGTCACACTGCATGGAAGATCCAGGGAGCAGCGCTACACCAAGCACGCCAACTGGACGTACATCGAGGAGTGTGCCGCCAAGGCCAAGCGGATGCCGGTGATCGGCAATGGCGATATACTCAGCTACGAGGATTACGTGGAGCGCAGAACGCTGGCGCCGCACGTCAGTTCCGTGATGATTGGACGTGGAGCGTTGATAAAGCCCTGGATATTCCAGGAGATCAAGGAGAAGCAGGCCTGGTCTCCGTCGTCCGGCCAGCGCTACGAGATGCTGCAGAAGTTCTGCAACTACGGACTGGAGCACTGGGGCTCGGACACCAAGGGTGTGGAGACCACACGGCGATTCCTTCTCGAGTGGCAGTCCTTCTTGTACCGCTACATACCCGAGGCGCTGCAGACGTCGCCACCGCAGAAGATCAACGCCAGGCCGCAGAAATACCGGGGACGTGACGAAATGGAGACCCTGATGAGTTCCGGCAACGCAGCCGACTGGGTTAAGCTTAGCGAATCGCTTTTGGGTCCAGTGCCAGATGGCTTCAGCTTTGTGCCGAAGCACAAGGCCAACGCGTTTTAGAATTGTACTACTACTATATGTATGTTTGTAAAGCTATGCGTGAAGTAGCGACATCAATATTGTTAGTTGTAAATCACCTTTATTGATTGAAATTGATTATTTTCAAATTAAATATTTAAAAAATTGTAACTTCTATGTTTTCTTAACATTAATAGATTCGTGCAAAAGTATGTAACAGCTAGAAGGAAGCGTTTCCGACCCCATAAAGTATATATATTCTTGATCAGGGTCACTAGCCGAGTCGATCTAGCCATGTCCGTCTGTCCGTCTGTCTGTCTGTCTGTCTGTCCGTCTGTATGAACGCTGAGATCTCAGAAACTACAAAAGCTAGAAGGTTGAGATTTCCCACACATATTCTTTGGCTTCCTACGCAGCGCAAGTTTATTTTAGCCGAGCGCCACGCCTGTGTCCTGCGCCCACATCTTTAAAGATTTCCGAGAAGTTTAAATGCAATTTTTTTGTTTATATTTATACCTATCGAAATGCAAAAGACATTATTCAAATCGGACCATTCATTAAAAAGTTATACGCAATCAAAATTGTTTATATATATATCTCCATCGCACTCCCTTTAGTTAGTCGGGACACCAACCCGAGTACAGCGTTCGCACTCCCTCCTTTAGCAGAGTGACGGGTATTAGATAGTCGGGACAACAACCCGACTATAGCGTTCTCTCTTGTTGTATTCTTAAAAGGTTAATTCGATTTTAGCTCAACGATCAATCAAGATTTGACACCTAAGCGGTTACTGCATTCTACTACTATTTACTAATAAAGTTACAAATGTATTATTAAGTTGGGCCGAAATCCCGGCGGTACTGCAATACCGGGCCAACCCGCGACAGAGGTGGAGCAAGCCCCTAGCACTCCGTCTGATTCCAAAAATCAGTTTAACATTTGTTGTCCTCCAATGGAGGAACTATCAGATGTTAAGCTGATAAGAACAGATACTACACTTTGATCTTAGCCATAAGGCCGAGAAGCGATAACTACTGTGGCCTAAAGAAGGGGACTTTACTCGAACGCAGCTAGAACCAGTTGGGAATTATTAAAAGGGAAAGTAAATGCATAACACCAAATCTACATTGCATATTTAAGGGGATGTTTTCCTCGCCAGTCAAAGATGTCCTTGGCTAATCCTGTGCACGAATATTCAGGTAGGAATATCGCAATGGCTAGGGGTACCATTCGAAATTCCCAGATACGTTGGAATTTCACTATTGGTGGAGGAGAGTTGTTATTTTATTGTATTGAAACTAAGGTCTTTCATAAAGAAAAATTCAGATATACTTTCAGTATATCATCTTTTAATATTTATTACTTTATTTTTAGTCCCTTAATGTGTTGGGAAACGTCTCTACATCTTCTTCTTATCCCAAGAACTTGTCGTTGGCGAAACAGAGTGGATCGTTAATGCGACATATTTTGCCGGCGTGTCCTAAAAACTTGTCGTTTGGGTAAGACTCAGCCTGGCTCATGAGTTGTAAGGCCAAAGTAACCAGCAGAAAAGAAACCTTCATTGTGGCAATAACGAGAGTGTCTGAAAGATTGTTCTGTAAAATGCGGTTTATAAGCTTAAAGGCATGCCGAAAGTTAATACAATACGATAAGCATGACCCAAGTAAAGATTCATTCGACATCCTATTAGAGCATGCAAATTTTAACTATTGGGATTTCTTAGTAAAAATGTAAGTGACCTTTATAGGAATATGGGACTACGTCCGTGAATCTTCTTGGGCACAATGTCCAGAATGCTGATCCTACCATCACTGGCCAGTCCACCGGCCTGAATGATCAGATAGGTCTTTCTAAGCATTAAGAAAACTACGGGTTCACTTTCAGTATATCATCTCTTGATATCATTTAATTATTATGTTGTACAGGTGAATCCGTTGATACGGTGTCGACATAGTCCTGTTACATCACGATAACATAGGGGGTTCGATTCGCCGCATACGTAAATAAGTTTGGTTAAAGACTTGTCGTTTGGGTAAGACTCAGCCTGGCTCATGAGTTGTAAGGCCAAAGTAACCAGCAGAAAAGAAACCTTCATTGTGGCAATAACGAGAGTGTCTGAAAGATTGTTCTGTAAAATGCGGTTTATAAGCTTAAAGGCATGCCGAAAGTTAATTTTACAATACGATAAGCATGACCCAAGTAAAGATTCATTCGACATCCTATTAGAGCATGCAAATTTTAACTAGGAATTAAGTTACTAGGTATTGGGACTTCTTAGCAAAAATGTAAATGTCCTTTATTCATAAATTATACATAGCAGTTAGAGAAATCACTTCAAGTAGCTTAGCGCCTCCTCCACATCGGCCTTGGAGCCCAGGAATATGGGACTACGTTCGTGAATCTTCTTGGGCACAATGTCCAGAATGCTGATCTTACCATCACTGGCCAGTCCACCGGCCTGAATGATCAGATAGGCCATGGGGTTGCACTCGTACAGCAGGCGGAGCTTTCCGCTGGGAGCGGATTTTGTGGCCGGATAGATGAAGATGCCACCGTACTTGATGGTGCGGTGGACATCGGCGACCATGGAGCCCACATAGCGGGCTCCGTAGGGTTTTCCCTTGGCGGGATCCTTCTTGGCCGCAATATAGTTGAAAACGCCCGCCTCCCAGTCGCTGGCGTAGCCCTCGTTAATGGAGTAGATCTTGCCCTTTTCGGGCACTCGCATATTGGGATCGGTCAGGATGAACTCTCCGATGGCTGGATCGTAGGTGAAACAATTAACTCCGGATCCCAGACCCAAGACAATGGCTGTGGCTGAGCCGTAGAGCGCATAGCCGGCGGCCACCAACTGGTTTCCAGGCTGCAGTGCATCCTCCACGGTGGGTGGACCGTCGCTCTTCTTGCGGTAAATGGCGAAGATCGAACCGATCGACACCAGGCAGTCTATGTTGGAGGAGCCGTCCAGGGGATCGAAGCACACAATGTATTTGCCCTGAAGGGGAACACAAATTAGCAATCATTAGGTATGAAATATGATATATTTAAAATCGTGAAAGATAGAGATACTCGATCTAAAGATAAAAACCTTTGCTTTTCCAATTCACACCCACATACCAAATTTAATATCTAATATTTAATATGCAGCCTTACCTGTTTCTCCACTTCCACCTCGATCACCTTCTCGTTCTCCTCGGAGACCATCAGACATGTGGTGTAGGAGGATTTCAGCATGTTGATGAACAGCTCGTTGGAGAGCACATCCAGTTTCTTGACTTCCTCGCCCTGGACATTCACGTCACCGGCAATTCCATGGAGCTTGGCTATTCCTGCTTTTCGGACCGCCGAGGCAGTAGCCTTGATCGCCGTTTGGATGCAGTTCAGCAGCTGTGACAGATCCCCGGTGGCCTCCCTGAACTTACGTTGCTCCTGCAACACGAAACGCGTAAGCGTCATCGCATTGGAGTCAAAAACTGGTCCCTGTTGGCTCATTTTGGCTATTTGGGAAGTTATAATAAAATATATTAAGTGGGAGAAATGTTTTTGGTTGGATATGACAAGGATAGGATTAGCATAAGGATTAGGGAATAATTAAAAATATTTTTTTAATATCATTACTAGTAAAAATAATCTTTGTAGATTTATTACACACCTAAAAAATCTACATGAAACGTAGATCGATTTTACATTGTTTAAGACCAATTTTAATTTGATATGAGGCCAGGTAAATTTGAGCTGATAGAAAAGAGTATTTCATGTAAAAGCGTTTTGCAAGACCTGAAATTTACTGAAACATTTTTTTTTTTCGTGTGCAGGTAATTTTCATGGTCAAATAATAGCTAGCATGAAAAGATAAGATTGTATTTTAATATTCCAATCTCACCGATTTTAGTATTTCAGCATAAACAAAGCTTGGTTTTCTTATTGTTTTTAAGTTATTCATAATACACTTTTAAATTAGAACATTTTTATTGATTAACCTTCAAATGATAATAATTTTTAAATATATATAAAATGTTTGGGAGCGGGTTTTGGAGGAGATTAAACACAGGGATTTGAAACAGAGGGGATTGTGCGTTGAAGCAATACATCGTTATAATATTAAGCGCAGCAACAGGTTAAGAATATTTCCGGTTTAAGGAAAGAGTGCAGCACTATAGATAAAGGGTGAGAGGGAAAAATGAGGTGCCAGGCAACATTCAAGGAGCAGGAAGCAGGAGGCAACTTCACTTACAATCACCGTTACTGGCCGCCATTATTGGTTATTAGTTAAATGTACGCTCTCTAAATGATGCGGTTCCTGTGGGGATCCATTAAAATAAAAACAATTACCAAAATAACACTGTGCAACATTTTTAGGGTTATAAAATGTAACCGCAATTCTGATTTCATGGGCGGAAAGAACTCATCGAAATAAGCTAAAACCCATTTGGGTTTCTCTGGCTTAACTCGCGTTTACCTTTTATAGCGAGTTAAAGTTTTACATACAAAATTTATTTGTTACGGCCATATCTTGTGAACCGATTAAAATTTCACTATCAAGTCTTCAGTGATTATGTAGCTATGAACCCAAGGAACTAAATTGACAAATGACTCTTGCGAAGACGTACACCTAGCGCGTAAAAAATCAAAAAATTAGGCAAATTTGTTTTTTAACGCGCTAGGTGCACTAGGTGCTAAGTGCGCAAGAGTCATTTGTCAATTTAGTTCCTTGGGTTCATAGCTACATAATCACTGAAGACTTGATAGTGAAATTTTAATCGGTTCACAAGATATGGCCGTTACAAATAAATTTTGTATGTAAAACTTTAACTCGCTATAAAAGGTAAACGCGAGCTAGGCCAGAGAAACCCAAATGGGTTTTAGCTTATTTCGATGAGTTCTTTCCGCCCATGAAATCAGAATTGCGGTTACATTTTTCATGTTGCACTGTGTAAGTAGAACCAAGGGCCTGTGCTCCTATGAGAAGGTCAAATCAGTGACCTCTCACGTCTCTTTCTGCCAACCACTATCTTCACTGGTTTTTTCGGGGGCTTGTTGCATAAAAAAACACTATCAAAAACTTGTCACTCTGGGCAAGCGTGTTTGTTTTTGTGGCTGTGGTGTCTGGTTGTTATTTTGTTTTTGACTAGCTGATAACCTGTTTGTTCTACAAAAATCATACGAACGTATCATGGAAAAGTGTATAGAACCGGAACAGCAAAATAATATTTCTCCCGGCCGATTTAATTCATCGACACGTGCCCCCTTATTTATTTTTGGAACGTCTCCAAGTGGCCCCCGATTAGCTGTATACATATATACGAACGCATAGAGTATATGTAAACAGAGTATCTATAAATCTATACATATATCTCCTTCATTCATCTATAAGAAAGATAGCCGAATGACTTTCAGACTTGTCCTTAACACTACCGGTGACCCCAAACATTTGTGGAGCTTCGAAGAACCCAAGAGACCGAAATGCACTTTCACTTACAACAAAAAGGGGGAAGACTGGCAAACAAAACAACGAACCGCGGTCGACGGCTGAACTAAAGAGACTGTTTTTTGGCTTTAGTCCACGTCCACGACGACAGCGGAAAAAAGCCAGCGAAACGTCACTGCCTGCCACACCCTTTTTAGAGGGTATACGCATTTCTTGGGTAAGATTATACATTATTATGAGATCTTAAATCTGTAAATATTAATCAGGAAAATATTTTTAAAAGTATAAATGGGTACTATAAATTAAACTAAACTATATATGTTTTCTAAAAAAATAAAACTTAAAAAAAAGGCAAAAATAAAAAGTATGTATTATCATAAAAATATTCTATTTTAAGTAAAAATTTATGATCTAAATGGTAGAGTATTGGAAACTCGGTTTCTTACCTCCCTCTTACTTTTTGTTTGGTTTGCGACTGATAGCATGTAAATAACGCGCATACATAGTGAAAAAGTATATAGAAAAGAGAGTGTCGGAGTGGAAGAGAATGCAGATGGGGAGCATAAGGCTTGAAAAAACTTAAGAGGGAGTCGAAAATAAAGAGAGTGAAGCATTGTGGGGCATACCAATTTCTTTTGTGCATAACGAGATATGTATAAGCTTAATTAAAATCCCTTCCTTAAGTGGAAGTATCTGCTTAAAAAATTTCAAAGGTATCTTATGGATTTTACCCATTATTACTTATTCGGTCAATAGATGATACAATCAAAAACATTCAATGGTTTCTAGGTTCTAAGTGGCATGTGTGATTTTTATTACCAACTCATTATAATCAAGGGAGGCTCGTCCGCAGCAGAGCGTTCTCATATTAGCCTTATCAATTATAAGCAAGATAAGCCTTAAAGTACTACTTATTAAAGTACCTACATACATTTGTATTCGTTTGGAAAATGCCAGAGGCTAAAGCGACTGCGCCTTGTCATTGCTTCGACCTCAGATTGTATTTCATTTCGAGGCAATCTCTCGAATTTTTGCTAATTTGCGTCTGATTAGAGTGTGTCTACCAATTTGAGCATAAAACAAAACACACTATCAAAATAAGAAATAAATATGTTTTTTAGAAGTATGCTTGTACTTACATTTTGAATAATTGGCGGGCAGATTAGAGAAAAATTTTGAACTTTGCTTTACTGACGTCAAGAAACGACTATATACTTAAATTAACTGAAATATTAAAATATTAAAGATCAGTTGTTATCAGGGATCTCTTTCTGAGAATGTTTAACCCAGAAAAAAATACATTCCCAGAATCCCTTTCTGTTTTACTGCCGCCAAATAGTAATTTTTTCGTGAGCATTCCTATTAACCCATAATTACCAATCAATTTGAAACATTTAACATTTACCGCCCACACTTGACAATGGGTGTCTCGCTAAAATGGCTGGCTGAAAACCCGCAATTATTTTCCCATTGTTAAGTGCATTTCCATCCACCCCAATTCAATCCAATCTTTTCGTGATTCCGCCCACCCACGGGCCCATGGACATGCGCAGGGCGTGGCAGTCGGCGTCAACCCCATTCTGAAATGCCTGATGTTTAACCATATTAGTTCCTATTTTATGTTGTCAATTGGATTTGATTGCCCAGCGCGGAAGGAAGAAAGCAATCCCCGACCAAGTTACACTCTTCGCGTATTCACATAATTCTGCTCTGTTTCGTTTATTGTAAGCACTATGTTCTGGATAAGACGTTGCAGGGAAATAAAATATCTTAAAATGGAAGTTCTCGAATACAATCACTAAATTTGATTAGATTTAAGATTTAATACATGACTAGAATGCAGCTCGTTCAAGAACATCTTAGTATTTACACAGCGTTTTCTTTCAATTTAAATATTCCGGGGAAATACAACTCAAATTTTTTCTCCGTCAGCTAAGTTCTATATTCTTATCTTCTTAGAAAGTTGAGTTGGCGTGTTAAAAAAAGCTGGATTTTACTCAAGATGGATGGTTTTTGTTTAAAACAAGACAATAATTTAAGTGTGAGTAACTCAAAAGTAAAATTTGACAATTTAAAAGGAACTATCTTTTGATTCGGTCAAGTTGTGGTAGATAATAAAAACTCATAACCATGTACATATCAGTTGTGGTAAAGGTTGATAACGACTAAAATAAAATAAAATATTTGTAATTTAAAGCTCTTAAGGGTACCTATAGAAAAAAACGAATAAAGTTTCTGATTCAGGTTATGGGTTTTTCAAATTTAAAGAGATCTGATGTATAGATTTTTCAAACCTAAACTTAATCATAAATTGCCACTCATAATTAAACCAATTACTTACATGTTGTATTTCCCCAACTAAATTACCAAAAACTTTACTAATTTAAGATTCAGGTTCTTGTCCCGATCGAACTATCTATGTTAACTGGTAGAGTTTCGCATCGCCGACGATGTCCACGTCGCTGGAGTTGTCCTCGTCGCCACTATCCGCCTCCAGGTCGGAGTAGTCATCCGTGGAGTATCCCTGCTGCATGAGGCACATCTGCAGCTGCTGCTGCTCACTTGTGGGCTGAGTGGGCGTGCCGCCGGATCCGGGACTCAGTTTGGCGTGCTTCGAATCTCCGGAGGAGGAGGTGGCCTCGCCCGGCTGTTTTCCCAGTTCGCTGCGTGAGAAGTCAACGGGCTCTGCGGCATGGAAGAGTCAAAGAAATTTCCACGAAATTTAGAACTAATTTGATTTACGAAGAAACTTGAGCAAAACTTTATGCAACTCAAGGAGCCAGCTAAAAGCCAAAAGGTCTAATTGAAAGTCCAAAAGTTCCGCAAAGAAACTCACTCACACCCTTTTGTCTGTTCAGTTCAACTATTTTCAAGTGGTCTAGTTGTTTGAGCTTTGTGAGCAATTTCATAACCGCAGACAAGTTGTATTCACGATGGCTTTTGTCTTCCTTATTAATTTATTTTAATATTTCTTTGAGGTAAAGCAGGACTTTTGCATAGAAAATAATTAAATGTAAAAGGGATATACACAGAGAAAATTCTGACGTTCTCATCTGAGTTGAAAATGTTCTTAAAAATAGAAAGGCCTTTTTCAAGTTTAAAATGTTCTAAATGTGCTTGAATTAAGTTGAATTGGTTCTTAAAATCTAGTTGAGCTTAAAATGTTCTTGAAATAAGAACGAATCGTTATTATTTTAGCACATGGTTCTTAAATCAAATCGATTTGGTTCTCAAAAACCACAATATCTGAAAATGTTCTTAGTTTGAGAACGAAAAAGACTAAAGAAAGAACAAAAATTAAGTTGCATTTCAACTTAAAATGATTCAAAACTCTATTCTCTAATTTTTTTGGATTTCCTAGAACGCGTTAGGATGTTTTCGTTTGACACCTAGAACGCATTAGACCATTTTACTTTGCTCCAATACGACTTTACTATTAGATTTGCCCTTTTCGTCTTATATATAATTCCCAACTGGTTCTAGCCCTTCATGAACCGAGCCCAATTCAGATTCTGAGACTTTAAGACTTTTTTTCTGGCTTAAGTCTTTAATGAACTTCCACACTAGCTGGAAGTCAAGTGCTACGCGCACCTTTATAAGGTGTAATGGACAACTACCTTTTTAATATTACTTATAAATTACTCTTATCCTTAGCTAAAATCAAACTCAAAATGCTATAGAATTGAGAGCAAAAAGTGCTGAAAATAGAACAAATGAACTTATATTTGTATTCATTTGATTTAAAAATGTTCTTGAATTAAGATCAAAATCAACTTGAAAATAGAACGAAGTGAACTTAATGTCGGATTTTTAGCTAACACCATTTCGTTCTGATATTGAGAACATTCAACTCGAAATGAGAACATTTGTGCTTACCCGGTTTTTAAGAACGAATGTTCTTGATTTGAGTGCAATGTTCTTGGTTTTTTTTCTCTGTGTAGGAATATTTTTATTTTATAATAAAAAAAATACTTTATACTTTCTGCTCTCTAAGAAATATTTTTTTTTATTTCAAAATTAAATTAAAAAACAAAATTAATTAAAATTCGCCAAAAAATATATTTATTAGAAGGTATTCAAATATAATAGATCAAAATGTACCACAAAAACCTAGTGCTCTTGAAGTATTACCTTAAAAAACAAGCCCTTTTACTTTCTCCCGTGATAATATTATTGTATTCTATTAACTTTAATTTAGTACTCACCATTGGCATTGTCGCGTCGACGCAGCTGCTTTTTGTGCTTCATGCGGCGGTTCTGGAACCAGGTCTTCACCTGGGTCTCGCTGAGTCCCAAGGCGGTGGCCAGTTCCACGCGCTCCGGCGTCGAAAGATATCGCTGTCCCTCGAACCGCTTTTCCAGACCGGACAGCTGCGGATCACTGAACACTGTGCGGGCCTTCCTCCGTCGGCAGTGGCGCAGGGCGTTCACACCCATTCCCAGTCCGAGGGCCAATTCCGGCACACATCCTGGCGCTCCGAAGAAGGGCGCTCCCCCAAAAAGGCTGGCTGAAAGGTCGAATGGCCAAAAATTCATTAACTTTGTTATAGTTTGTTAGAAATGGAAACTTTCGGTGATAATGGCCATTTACACCAAGTCTAGGGGCTATTTGTCTTACTAATTTGGGCACCAAAAATATCCAAACTTTCCATGCCTTTATAATGAAGGAACCGAAAATAGATATTGGTTCTTTTATCACAAATGGTTTTAATAAATTTCAAAGTAATTTCGCAATTAAAGTTGCTAATTGCTATACTAACATATTTTCTGATAGATACCTTTTACTTTAAAACCACCTAACTTATTCTGTGCTCTAAAGATAACAAATATCACTCATACGACATGTGTTCACTTTGCACTTATTTAAAAAAAAAAAAACAGTGAGTCAGTCTAATAACTTTAACCGTTTGATTAAAAATGGAACACTCTTCTTATTAAAAAAATATCACTTCATTCACTTCATTCGTGCATTAGCACCAGGATAGTGAAAGGATGAATAAATAGAATAAATGATAGAAATAAAACAGTTTTCAGCAGTTGCCAAAAAGAATTATCTTACCATAAGTATAAATATAAATAACCAAAAAATACCCACCTTGTGATAGAAAATAGGGATCCACGGACTTGTAAGTCCCCGACGATGGGGACAGATAGCCGAGGGTCATTTGAAGAAAGCCGTGATCGGTGTACGGGGCATTTGGGTATAACACTCCGTTGGATCCACCAGATCCTCCACTCAGGGGCGGCGGAGGTTGTGGCTGAGGCGTCGGTACCGGGGGATGCTGTCCTGCCGCAGATCCCAATTGCTGAGAAGTCTGATCTCCGCTGTAGTGGGAAGCTCCGGGACGCGAATGATGGTTAGACCTAAAAACCGACGGATTTCAGAGTTTGTTACTTATTTCTTGATTTTTATGTATTTTCCTTAAATACAAACGCTATAAGTTACAACTATTATTTACTAGTTTTTTTAGAACATATTTTTCTGTCACAATTAATAGAATATTAGTTATCGAAGCAGGCAACTTAATAGAAGTTAAACGACAACTGATGAGAATTCATTTAATAAATCTTCTTTGTTTATTTCAAAATTATAAGAACTATAATCCGTAATATTTATTTTAAAAGAAAATTAAAGTTTTCCTTTACTGAATTCATTTTAAAACTATGAACCATAACTTTACTCAGTAAAGATCAATTTTAAATATGTCTTTATTTTAGAAAGCACAAAAACAGTCACTAAGCACCAACGACTCTTTGATTTAATGGATCTTTTCATCTCAATGCTCTCTTATTTATTTTCTGTTATTTTACCGTTTGAGTTTGATTTGATTGGAATAATTTATTAACGTCAGCTGCTTCTTTTTCAATTTCTCAAAATTCTCAAAATTGTCAGTTCACATAAGGATTGTAGATTTATACTTATTGTAGTTCGAGTTAGGAAAGTTCTCACATAATATCACTTTTAATAATTATGATATTGATATTGAAACCAACCGTTGGGTGTTGTGCAAGGACTTGGCGTAATCCTCGCTGCCATATCCCGACGCTGCCTGATTGCCGCGCGTCGTTGCAGTCGCGGATGCGGATGCGGATGCCGACGGATGTGACTGCGGCGGATGCGAATGTTGCGACGGATGTTTCTGTGGATTATTGTCGTGGGCAAAGCTGCTCCTGGCACTTTTCATCGAACTTTTGCTACTCTTTTGCACATAACCATTACTGTTGGCGGTGATGCTGTTGTTACTGTTATTATTATTGTGACTATTATTATGGCTGGCACTATTTAAATTTTGAAACAATATATGCTCGATGGAGAACGGCGTTTTTGTGGTCAGCATGGTGCTGGCACTGGCCATCGCAGCCGCCTTGCTGTGCGAGGTGGGCGTGGTGGCACTGGCATGAGCATGTGCGTCCGCAGGACTCAAGCTGGCCTCATTAAGCATTGCCATTTCGATGGAGGCGACGGATGATGAGGAGGAGCGGAGTGGAGTGGAGTGGCGACTGGAAACAGGAGCCAGAAGCCAGGAGCCAGGATATATGTATATGTCCTTGGACCGGGCGCGCGCTTATGTTGTTTGCTCGTTGACGGTCGCGTTGAGTTTGCGGCAATCACCGCACATCAACCAGCAAATTGCTCTAAACGAGCTGCCAGCAGACATGTGCGAGCGAGCCAGCGATATTGTCCTGCATCCTGCGGAAAATACAAGTACGAACCAAACCAAAAAAAAAAAATAAAAACCCCGTTCTTCAACTTGCGCCACCCCCGTTGAACAATCCAGTTGCAGTTTGCGGTGCCCGCTTAGAGCGGCAATTCGGGGGAATCCCCCGCAAATATAAGAGTATACGCGATGAACACACCCCCTACATTTGCATGCGCATACGGTTGTCCTGCTCTCTCCGGATCTTAGCACCCATCTCTCCACTGCTGGCATCCGCCGGACATCCGATTAGCCCCGAAAAACCTTAGTTTAATTGACCCCTGTTAACCGCAAATAATTTGCACAACTATGCGTCCTTGCGTCTGACGCCATTTTGTGAGGCCCCCCGGGGGCGCCATACTTTTATCCCTATGGCCACCCATTTGGGCGCCCACTTGTCATAATTAACGTGTCATGGCCGCCATTGTTGTCTGTCTGGCTGATGATGTGCATGCATTAAATGCCACAATTATTATAATTGAATTAAACAATCGATTCTGCTGCTGCTGTCGCCGCCTCCCGTGACAGGATAATTGCTAGGTGGAGCCAACTGTACGCAACTGTACCCGCTGGGTTGAGTTGACATATTCTCCTGCTTTGCACTGAGATATATTTCGTCTCCCGCTGCGGGTAATTGAATCACAGAGCCCCACATAGCCGTACACCACCCACAAGGACATCGCCTAGGACACCAAACCCACCCATTGCCACCCTCGAAAAGAAGGCGTGCTTTCCATTGCCACCGGCCGCCAATCAGAGAAGAGCTGGCCAAGGGGTTGCATTTGCCAGTATATTCGTCCCGCTTCTTCCTGTTTTCTCGAGAAGAGGTCATACCATTTTGGTGGATCCTTCGAAGGGGGGAGGGAGGTCCAAAATCAGAGCAGGAAGGCAGAAAATAACAAGAGAGAGAAAGAGCATAATGACGATGCGACCAAAAAGCAAGACAAATTTGCTCGTTTTATTAATAAAATAAGTCACGCAAACTAAGTCGAACATCATTATTAGGTTAAAGCCCTAAAACGGGCGCATTAGGATGGCATTCGAGTGATCGCGGGGAAGGTGGGCCATGGGGATGATAAGGTTGTGTTGTGCTGCCCTCTGAAGGCAAAATGTTTCTGCTCCTCTAAGGACTTTAAATCACTTACATTTTTCGAGACTTAATTATTGGTAAGTGGTGTTGGGTTATGTTATTTTAGGCACGAATTTACATCTGCCTAAAGAGTATAGTAAATAAATCTAGGAAAATATTTCCTTAAAAAAAATCTTGTATAATATCTCTGGAAAAGTTATTAGATCAAATAGAAAAATTCCTTAGATCAAATTAAAGTTTAGAGAACAAAAAAAAATTTCTTTCAAATTATTTTTATTTTTAAAATACGTTTTTTTAGTAACCTTTTTTATTTTGAAGGGATACATTATTTAAAGATCTCCAGTTAAACAACAAAAAATTAAGTGAATAATATGTATATATTTTTGCTCTATATTTAAAGGAAATAAAATACGATGATATATAATATAATACATTATTTTTAGCCACAATTAAGTTACCATTTGAATGAACAGTCTCTGTAGACTTTTGTAGTTTAAAAAGAGCATTAAAAAGATTTAAAAGTTAAAGATGAAACGATCTGTGAAAGCTAAATACTTATACACTGAAAATGGTGACCCGAACAGAGATGAAGACCTCCTCAGCTCATCTCACCTGGCTGAAAGCACTTAACTTGCTGCTCCACCTCCACAGACTTCACTTCGTTGTCATCCATTGTTAACCCGATGACATGAACGTGCCAAAGGGCGGTTGTGAAAAACATAGATATTTTTTCCCAGGAATTTCTTTAAAGTCTGCGAGCATGTCTACCGTGAGTTGTTTATTGATTTTTTTTTCTCGAAGTCAACGGATTTGCGAAGAAAGATTCCCATGGCCAAGTCTGCAAACAGATCATATTTTTGAACCATCATTTAGTCCGCTTAATTTCCATTGTTGCACGTGTCCCGTCAGTCGGACTAAGCCTAATTTTTATAATAATAAAAATGCTACTGTGTCTGGGGGCATCGAATTGCCAGCCACTTTGCGGTTAAATCTGAAGGAGGGTGCTTTTCCTCGGGGCAATTACAACATTTTGTGTCAGTTTGTCTGGCAAATCCCTTTGTATTGTCGACATCGACGTCTCCTTGCTTTTTTTGTTAGCATAATTCCCTGAAATCAAAGCCAAAGTGTGTCACCGATCAGGTTACGTAAGCCATAGGTCGTGTTCTTGCTTGAAATAGGGGGTGAACTGTCGGCGGCACATCTCCTCAGATCCTTTTTCCGCATTTAAGTTTGATTCTCGGTAAATTAACTTCTGATACAAGCAACACAAACTTGAACATCCTTGCGGGTCCTTTGTCCTTGGGAGCAGGGATCAGTAAAGGAGCTCAAGTGGCTACATCCTCAGCGAGTGGCACTTCCTTTACATTGGTCCTTTTTTTCATATGAAAACCCATTACTTAAACGATAAGAATAAAACCTTTTACTTATAATATCGTAATAATATAAGTAAGTTGCGTAGATTTTTTTATGGGTCAACATTTTATTAGGTTCTTAAATTTAATGAAGTTTTAAGAAATAATAAAATAAATACAAGAAGACTATATGATTTCTAAAACATCGTTGATTACTCTAAAAAATTGGTTTTCTTTTCAATAGAGAAACAGTTGCCATTGAAAAGTGTCATTAGTAGACATCAGATTTTAGGTGAAATCGTTTTTTTTTAAATATTTGATTGGTAAAAATTTTGTAACAAAAACCTCAAATAAGTTTTGCCTAAATCTATTTATAACTTTATAAACAAAATTTGTAATCAAAAAAATGTGGCTTTAAATTGTATTTAAATAAAGCGGTTTCACCAAAAATCCGATGTCTAGTCATTAGGATAAATTTGACCCAATAAAATATTACTTAAATGCATTGCGAAAAATTTGTCTTGATTACTTCTACCATTTCAAAAAACTATGGGAAAAATAATCGTAATCAAATATAAATTATTTTACTCTTTTTTTAACCCCCATTTATGCAATATTCAGTTGGCCTTTGACATTATAAACTCTCACTTAGCTCCCAATAAAATGGCTATTCGGCTGCATTTAAATAAGAAATATGTTCGAACATTGTTGCGTTACGCCCACCATAAATGCCATATCCGGGAATTTCGTCCCCCATTTTGTAGCGCTTGGTTGTTCAGTAAATTTCACGATAATTGCGCGAGATAAATTCAATTAAATAGCACACTACATGGCCCTAGAATCTAGCAACTGTATCAAAATAACAGCGATTCTGCCCCCGCCGGCTGATAAAATCGAAAAATGCCAGCAAATTACAAACTGCCCTTCGACAAATCATCGTGTGCACATATTTCGATGTAATTTAATATGTGGCACGCGTCCGGGAAACTTTTGCCTTGGCTGTTTGCACTCTCGCACTGCGCAGCTCGACTTTTTCTACTCCGCACGTATTTTCATTTTTTCTTTTTCCTTTGAATTTTCGTTGTTTGTTGGCTGGGAAAGGACCTGAAGGACTTGTGACTCCGGACGACGGGTTCATCTACAATTGTTGCCAATGAGAGCAATTGTGTGCCGCAAGGGGTGAAGGTGACGGTATAGGAATGGTGCCCGAGTGGAGGGAGGTGCCAGGATAATTGCATTTGTTAGTGCTCTAATTGTCAGGACGAACGGAGGACGAGGGGCTGTGGCAGGGGCAGGCCAAAAAGGTTACTGGGCCTAGGATCACAACAAGAGACTTTTAATAAGCAGCCAACCGCCCAACAAGCCAAGCGCTAATAAAAGCAGAATCGGCTGGGAATTCGGGTATCCTCGAGGGAGGAAATAGTGGGTGTTTTAACGATCCTAACTCAGTGATTTCGATATTTCACCCGTTTCAGAACCTCCAATTAGGAAAATAGAGTAATCAGGATTTCAAATATTTGGAAGTAACTGACGGATGAACAAAGGCTTCTGAACTGAACACCAGTCGAAAAGTACTTTGATTGGATCACAATTATAGACCATTTCTATTATTCCGATACCACTATAAAACTTAAGTAAATGACCATGTTCCATATTTTGTCCGTGCTCGAATCAAATTATTTATTTTTTCTAAGCAACAGGTAATTGTTTAGATATGAAAATTATTTGTGAAAAAAATGAGGAAACTCGAAAAACCATTTTTAAAAGGATTGACCGGATGATAAAATCTTTTTTCATATTTTAATTTGGTAATACTATACATTAGCGGGCTCACCCCCGAAATTCGCGAAAAAATTATCCTCGATGGACCGCGATTTCTTAAGAATTTACGTGCAAAAAGAATTCGGCGGTCGGCCATGGTTCTCTTGTAATTGAATTTCAAAGTTCCCGGATAATTTTTTCGCGAATTTCGGGGGTGAGCCCGCTAATGTATAGTATTACCTTTAATTTAAGTTCGCCTTCCCACTCAAAGTGATTTATTATAATAAATTACCATAAGTTCTAATCTGACTGCATCTTTTTTAGAGAAATCATATTTCGGCCGTGCCCAAGAGCAAGAAGCCGAGGAGGAGAAGAGTCATCTGATGATTTGGCCCCGTGGAGAGGCTTGTTATGTTTATTCTAAAATAATTGCCAGCACGTGCCCTATCAGCGTCAATCAACCCAAACAGACAGCCAGGGAAAGGGGAGGGAATGTCGGGGAAAAAATAAAATAAATAAAACATCAGAGGCGAGGAGGCATTCCATGTGCAAAACGTTTTCGCACTTATGCACATCATTTAGTGCGTTCACCGCTGTGAGCCCGCATCGAAGGATGTGTTTTCCATGTCCTCTGGTGGTGGCTCTGCATCCGCGTTAAGTAGCCGGCTAACAACAACTGATTCTCCGATAAGACATCCCATATCGCCGCCCTCTCATCCTGACCTGCTGTGCGTCTCTATGGCAATTTAATCAAATTAATTTTCTCACGTGCTCTTTTTTGCTGCCCAGCCCAGCACAGCAGGTTCCAAAATGATTGCAAAGGACAATGCTTATGGCTAATAAAATTATGGCCTTATGTCCTAACCTTGGGTGGTACAACGCCTTCTCTTTGAACTCACTTAAATTAGCCAAAGAGCTGACGAAGGAAAGATCAGCGGGAGTGTTCTGGCTTTATTTATATTACAATCAGTTGATTGTATAAAAGCTGGTTAATACAAATTTTAACCACTTTTGACTCAAAAAAAATGGTTTATGCTTTTACATTAATTACCTTTAATATTAATTAATTGTCATGTAATATAAACACATATTGTAACAAATTATATTAAATAGCTTTGACTAATTAAGTACAGTAAGTATAAAAGGAGAAAAATAAATTAGAATTAATAAATTAAAAATGAATTATAAAGGGGTATGCTCTGTTAGTAGGTTTCCCAAGTCATTGAATTTCACAACAAACCAAGAATCCATTTGCCTGTAATACCCCAAAAATCCAGTGTAAATTATCCATCAAAATTCAATAAAAATTTACGTATTTAATATTTTTCTTTTATTTAAATGCGTTAAAGTAGTATTTTTGTTGATTTATTTATGTTGTATGTTGTGGCTTGTAAAAATGTTAATGCAAATTGTGAACTCATCGCATGACGTTTCATTGTGTATACTTGTCACATTCCAGTTTATATTATTGGTTGATTGATCTTTGCTCTATTAAATATAAGTTTCTATCCAGTTTGTAAGTATGACATTATAATTCGACTTGCTTGTCGCAAGCTTTATTTAAGAGTTTTTTTTCCATTTCTTGCCTGCTTGCTGGATCAGTCATTATGAAATACAATTTTTATAACTATGTTGTGGGGTTCCATTTATTTTTATCAAAATATATAAAATGCTAACTTATGTTTTAAAGCTTTCTATTTAGTTATTGTATTACAATTCTGTTTATCTCCGTTATGCTTCCACTTTGTAGTTTTGGTTTTCCTTCGTCTTTAACAATTTTGATAGTTTTCAAATATAAAAGTTTTGGCAGCTGCTCTGGAGTAATTAAAAGTCGAATAAAGGTCTGATTAATTTGTCAAACGCACGTTTGGTTTTTATAGTATCAAATTTATCTATTAGTCGAATCTAAGCACTAGCCACACGTCAAAGTTATTGGTCAAAATTGTAGTACATATATTGTGAGTATATTCTTGCTGTGTACGCGCCCAATGAATTCCAAGGAAGTATTTAATATTTTTATAAATTTAAAAAAGCAACCGCAAAGCAAATTAATTTGTCAGAGGAAAGAAGGAAGTATCGTTTGTAATGTTTAGCCTTGGCAAATTTAATTCAGCAGATTTCCAGCCATTGTGTAGATTTAGGGATTTTACGATATCCCACAATTAAAATAATCTTAAACATTTTGAAGAATATAAAATAAATCAAAATCACCCATTAAAATAATTTAAAAAAAAAGTCTAGATACATGCGTTTTGGCCCTAATAGTAGATAACCTTTCTGTTTACAGCTTTTCTTAGTAAATCTTTCTTCTATACGCCTATTTAATATTTAGTTTTTCTGTTTATTAGCGAACTGTTACCAGTTAGTGTATAGTATTAATATATATAGACAACCATTTTGTTTGTTATTTAGTTTTACTACTCTCAACTCAAATGTGTTTATTTGTGTTTTAGTATGTAGACAATCAGATAAACTCTTTTCATTCTGACAAATTAGCTGCACTTCAAAGAATAAATAAGCGTTTTAGATTAAGCTTCCCGGGAGTCTAGTTTTGAATAGACAATTAAGTCGCGTACACAGACTTTTCAAATCTCCAGTTATTCATAGGTTTAGTTTCCATTGGCAACAGCTAAATAAGCAAAGCCAAAGAGTATATACAAAAATGGGTTGAAGAAAGATTACTTGAGTGACAATGCAATTGAGTTTATTGTTTTAAAAAATATATATAAATTAATCGTATAATAATTAACTTAGGACAACTTGCTCAAAGTTGTTGCAAATGCTTTCATTTTAAATTAAGAAAATTATCATCTCCGATACACGGGCGTCACAATTTAGTCGCGGAAACAAGAAAATAAAAACATTCGAGACACAAATCACGCAAAAACAAAATCAAAGTTGAACTCAAACATTTTGAATTCTTTTTTTTTTTTCTTTTAAGGTTAAACGAATGAAACTTAACAACTAAGCAAAGAAAAGCCTAAAATGCAATAACAATATGCATTTTATAGGATCGAGGGACTTTCGGGGTAATATGTGGATGGTCTTTTAGTTTAGTTAAACTCTCTTCATGCTTCTCCAAAACAAAATTGAATTTTGCATATGATTCAAGGCGCAAAGCGTCGTCAGTATGATTATCATTATCGATCATTATTATAAATGGTGTTTGCAATATGCGCGGCGTTATAAATCTGAATGTCTTTGGAGCCGTATATGAATAACACTTTCGAGAATTTCAATGCGCTTAAAAGTGAATGATTAAAAACTAAATAAAATATATATATGCATTTATAGGCATATATACACTGCTGCTCCAGAACTGTGATTATATGTAGGTAGCGGTCTCATTAATTCGATGTAATTAGTTGCTAAAGTTGCCTTATAGCCTATTGGTTTTGTGAACGAGATTCGAACATCGCTGTCACGTCGCGTATTGAGAATTGTGGTGAGATCTTTTCTCTGTTGCTATAAAAATAAGAATTTCGATTAATAATTTTTCAAGGAAAACTTGATATTTTTTAATTACTTGGTGCCTGAATTGCTCTCGGCCAACGAGTTCCGCTGCAAACGCTCGCGCGGCATGGGCTGGCCACGCTCAAACTTATTCGCCGGCGCCTTGCTGGTGCTTCCATATTTCTGGGCCGCCGACTTGACACTGAGCAGCGAAGTGGCGGTCACGCCACCATTACTGGTATCACAATTTTGATTCTTCTCGTCCGAAATCCGGCGCACCCGCTGCTGACCCAGCGGCTCCTGTCCATTACCCAAGCTCATGTGCAGGGTGCTCTCCGATCCACCGCCAGCCACGCGGCTCAGCTGTTTCAGATTCATGTCCATGTCCTTTTGCAGGGCGTGCATATCGCCGCGGGACTTGGACTTGATGCGCAGCGATTCAGCGGCCGGGAAGTTGTCCTCAGCGTTGAGTTCCGTACGCGAGCGAGATTTCAGCGTATCGCCATAGTACTTCTGCGTTAGCTGCTGCCGCCGCTCCTCCTTGATCTTGTCGATGCGCTCGCGATCTAGGATCACACCGGTGAGCACGCTCTTTCGACCCGCCGGCGGCAGGAACTGATTAGCTGCCGCCTGCTGCTCCTTGGGCAGCATGTTGTTCTGCTGGATGAGCGAGATGCGATTCTCGGTGGTGGGCGTAATGGGTTCCGGTTCGCCGCCGCGCTTCTGACAAATCTCCTCGGTGATGCTCATGCCGGGCAATCGCTTGGGGGGATTCAGGGTTTTGGGCCGCGTGAAGTCGAAACTCTTGCGCCGGCTGTTGACCTCTGACATCACCTCGGGTAGCTTGCCCGAAACAGAAAGATCTTGCAGCTGCTTGCCACCAAATTCTCGGACAAAGGCATTCTCATCCAGCGAGCGTGTTATCTTCTGGGCACTACTATTCAGTTTCTTCAGCGGCACAGGTGCTGGCATGGCCTTAGGAACGCTCAATTCGTTCGGCTTCTTCATCGAACCGCCGCGCAGCGAGAAATCAAAGCTGGGCAGCTGCTCCACCGGCGAACTCTCGAACTTGTTGGCCAACTCTTTGACACTGAAAGAGGGCGACTTGCTGGGTGACGTGTGCTGCTCGTGCTCCATGTTGTCCGGCAAACTGTCTAGGCTATCGAGTTCAATTCGATCACTGCTCGGCTTTTGTTCTTCTGTGATGAATTTCATCTCCTCGCCACGTAGATTTTCGTAAACTGTTTTCGGTTTTCGCAGCTCAATGTTCTCGTAGAGCAACTGCGACTGCTCCTCGTCCTCCGGCTCTTCCTCCTGCTGCTGCTGCTGCTGCTCCTCGTGATCCTGGTGCTCCTGTTCCAGCTGCAGCAGTTGCTGCGTCATCTCCGCCGCCTTAAAGGCACCCCCATCCTGCTGCTGCTCCTCCTCGGCGATCTGCTTCAGGCTGGATCGTTCGTGCAGCATCTGATTCACCTCGGTCACCGAGTTGCGGAACAGCTTGACCTGCTCATAGACGATGTTCTCGTCGAAATTGGTCTCCAAAAGTGCCGAGGGTTTCTTCTCCTTCTCCGGCGATTTGTATGTGATGCTTATGGTGGACTTGATGGGACTGGTGGGCACCATCTTGACGGGCGTCTGCTCGAAGTCTTCGTACACCGGCGAACTTTCATCGGTCGCCAGAAGGGAGTGCATGCTAAGCTGCCGCTGCAAGTGCTGATAGCCAAACTCGCTGGGCGTCACCGACTGACTAGTGTTGTCCGTGAAGTTGGAGTTGTTGGGGGAGGAGCACATGGCCGCCGCGGCGGCTGCCTGCAAATGCTCCTTCACCGGCAATGTGGCAGCTCGATTCGCCGGCTGTGGCAAGCGCGATTGAAGTGGTTGAAGATCTAGGGATAGCTCTCGCTTAAGAGCATTCATATCACGTTGTTCCGCTTCCTGGTGGTTGTTGAACTACGGAAATAAAAGTGTAAGTTCAAAATATCATTAAATTATCAAGGATCTTCTTACTTGCTGTCCCAGACTCTCGTGCGAGCTGCCCTGGTAAATGCTGTCCGCATCTACTCCTAGAAGCAGCTGCTGCTGCATATTGGAAGAAACTCCGGACACACCGGACATGACCGAAGCCAGCATGAGGGGCTCCATGTCGTATTGTGGGGTGTTCACAGCCGAGCTGTTCTCGGAGCTTTCAGTGTCGCACAGCAAGAGGGAGTAGCGAGGACTGCGACCAGGAGTTGTGGGCGTGGGCACAGAGAGCTTGATCTGGCCATCTTCAACGGGTTCCACTCGTGATTTCCTGTGCTGCGCTGTGTTGCTGGCACTGCAAGGGTAGAAATAGTTTAAGATACTGATTGACATTAAATTTTTAACCATACTAGAGCCCTGCGTGAATTAATCAATTTTTTTTTTATCATAGTGTTCCATTTCTGATTTGTTTAATTCAATTCTATGTGAAATAAATTTAATGTTTTTCTAATTCACTTCGAATTGAATGAATGAATAACTTTTATAAATTTTACAGATTTTTTATACCCTTGCAGAGGGTATTATGATTTCAGTCAGAAGTTTGCAACGCAGTGAAGGAGACGTTTCCGACCCCATAAAGTATATATATTCTTGATCAGCATCACAAGACGAGTCGATCTAGCCATGTCCGTCTGTCCGTCTGTCCGTCCGTCCGTCTGTCCGTCTGTCCGTCTGTCCGTCTGTCCGTCTGTCTGTTTCTACGCAAACTAGTCTCTCAGTTTTTGAGCTATCAGGATGAAACTTTCCCAAAAGTCTTCTTTCTATTGCAGGTAGTATATATGTCGGAGCCGACCGGATCGGACAACTATATCTTATAGCTCCCATAGGAACAATCGGAAAAAAAAAAACTTTAAAAAATTCTAGCTTCGGTGTTTTTTGAAATATTACCTTCTACTTTTGGGGATGTTATTTTTTAAATATATCTGAATTTCGAATTAATTATTTAAAAAATCGGACTACTATATCATATAGCTGCCATAGGAACGATCGGAAAATTAATGGAAAAGTAATAGGAAATGAATTCTAGCTTCTTTGGTGTTTATTGTATTATCTTCTTCTCTAGGATATGACTCTTTTTAAATATTTTCGAATTTCAATTTTAATTTAATCAAAATCGGACGACTATATCATATAGCTGCCATAGGAACGATCGGAAAATTAATGAGAAATATTAGAAAATTGAACATTTTTGCGATTTGTTAATTAATAGGAATGATCTGCAAGGGTATATAAGCTTCGGCTGGCCGAAGCTAGCTTCCTTTCTTGTTTTGTTCTTTCTTTTGAGAACAAAAAGTGGAAAATTTTTAACAAATCAATGTCAATTGCTTGGTAAATAAAATTCAGGCAGATTTAATCACAAAATTATGGCCCTTTCTTCTTCAAAAGAAATTGTCGTTTGAATTATTTCGGAATTCATGTAGAATGGCAATGGCATTAATTCAATTCTATTAAACTCAAAATTCTAATTAATTCATTCATAATTAATTCCATTCATGCAGGGCTCTAATCCTTACTCACTTCACAGTCCTTGGAGCTGGAGGCTCCTGCTTCGCTCCTGGCTGCGTAAAGGTTCCCTGGTAGCTAAATCTCTCTTTAGCAGCCTGCTGCTCCTTTCGCTTGGCACCCAGCTGCACCGAGGGATAACTGTAGCGGGTCGACGAGGAGGAGGAACCAGCCGTCGTTGGGGAAATGGGCGATTGGGCTGCCCTCGCCGGCTTCGGTGGCGGATGCACTTCAACGCTGGCGAACTGCTGCTGGGTGGTGGGCACCGTTTCCGGAGTTCCGCAGTCAATGAACTGAATGTCACACAACTGATCCTCCAGCTTGTAGCGTTTGCAGCAATTCTCCGCACCAGCGGATTCGTGGCCACAGGAGGAGGAAGTTGAAGCGCCAGCTGCTGACGGCGGCGGCGGTGGCGGCATTGTCCTAGCCGAGCTAGGCGAGAGCAGATTGAGACGCGGCTGCTTTTTGGGACTGGGATTAACGCTGTTCGTCTGGCTGCAGAACTCCTCTGGCCGGGCGCGCATTATGCGACGAGTGGCACAGCCGCTGGCGGGTGGAACATTTTCCTTGCCCACGCGCGGCGAGCTAACCAGGGATTCGCTCTCCGAGAAGATGCGCATTTCCGGCTCCTCGCGGTCGAAATTCAGGCCCAACTCCGAGAGCTCCCGCGACGGACAGGTGGTCATGTGACCCCGTTGCGGCGACTGCAGCAAATCAAAGTAGGAGTCATGCGAAACGCTCCTCGAATGGCCCACTGTGCGCAGGCTATCAATCGAATTGGAGCGTATGCACAGGTCCATGGGCTTGGGATCTCGTTCGTTGCTCGTGGTCTCTAGGAGTTCAATCGATTTGGGCTTGTCGTGCTTGGTCAGCTCCTTGCTGGCATGCGCATGCGAGGCCTGCACGAAGCTCACCCGCGACGCAACCGAATCCTTGGCATCCGTGGTGATTTTCTGCCCAGGATCCGGGTTGCCCTGTCGCTGGCTGCGCGTGAATATCGACTTCCACGAGGGCGTCTTGTCGGGCTTACGCTTTTGCCAGCTCCGTGGCGCCGAGAGCACCGTGTGGTATTTATCCGGCAGGCTCGAAGGACCACCGCCCACTTCGATGTAGGAGCCAATGTTGGAGGCGGCATTGCTGCTCGCACTGGTCAGCATGCTAATGGGCAGCGACTGCTTGAGATCGGCGCCATCCACCCGCGAATGCCTCTCCTGCGCCTCCTCCAGACTGATTAGCTTTGCTCCGCCAGTGCTCAGACTCTTGGGACGCTCCACCATGCCCAAGGATTGATCCTGCTCGCGCTGCTCAACCAGCAGACTTTCGCAATCTGTTAGCGACTCCAAACGTAGCTCTCCACCCGCATTTGCAGCCGCTGCGGCGGCGGCAGCAGCACTCGCCACCATGCTGTGCCGCGACGGATGATCCTCCAGGGCGTCGAAGATGTTATGGCAATTCCTTATCAGGTACTCGGTGACCACCGCCTGGACGCCCACGCCTCGCAGGGCAGCCACACCGCCGGATTCGAGGGCGGGGGAGCGCAGTAGATTGGGCGCCCACACGATGGCCAGGTTCTTGTCCGTCATCCCAGTGCGTTCGTGGTGCTGCGACACCTTGTACAGGTGCTCGGCCAGATATTTAAGGGTTCTGTGGGGGAAGGCAGTTATTAAGGGTAATAAATCTCAATTAAGGGGGGAGATACATATAGTACTGTAATTTTTTCAAGTTTTTTTGTGATTTTTAACCAATAAGGAATTGGTGGGAATTTTTTTGTCAGGCTATATTAAAAAAAGTATGATACCAAGTTTATTTTGTTAAGAAATAATGTAGGAACTGTCTGAACCTAACTTTGATAGAATATCTCAAAAACTATGGTTGTGGCACTCTTTCAAAGTTAAAAATCTATTTTTTTCATAATTTTTTTGTTGTGTTTGGCTTTCAAAAAATACCTAAACGTACAAATTTCTACATTATGTAGGTTCAGACAGTGGGCAATTTTATTACAAACATTTCTGTAAAAACAGCATGAGGATAGAGGCATTACTTTTTGAGATACACGATCCACAGCTGAGCAAAACGTGGTTTCGAGAAAATGAAATGAAATATATCTACTGCACAAGGAAGGTGAGTGCCGTAATCCTAGTATAAGTTCCAAAATAGTTCGAATTTCTTCGTGAAACTTTCATGACAAATTTTTAACGAGTTATTCTAACAATTTAAATATTACAAAAATATGGAATTTTTATTTTTTCTATGTGTATCTCCCCCTTTTAAAGTTAATTTCTTACCGATAGTGCGGCGGTGGCAGCTTGAGCACCGTCTCCTTCATGAGTCGCAGCCGCTCGTCCGCCTCGTCGGCCTTCACCTGGATGGCCTCCACAAAGTTGTCGTACAGCTGGTAGGTGCACAGGGGATTGGGAAGCTCTCGGAAGTACATCTTCAACAGCGAACTGACCGCATGGATGTCCTGCTTCATCTCCGGATTGCCCAAATCAGGCACACGCTCCTCATCGAAGGCTCGCCTCAGGCGCTGAATATTAGAGGTGATGCCCGAGAGCCTGTATATTCCGTCTATAACGCCATAGTTCTCGATGAACTCCGCACAGGAGCGCAGGACCATGGGTATGTCCTGGCCGCTGTTCAGCAGATGCTCCGAGAGATCGCAGTTGAAGACGCGCTCGCGGTAAATTCCGCTCTGTTTCAAGCGTCGGCGAGATGGCCGCGACAGGATGAAGGAACGGAAGAAGGCGATCAGTTTGCCGTGCTTGCGCAGCACAGGCTTAGTGGGTGAGGCGTCCAGGTGGCCGACGAGTGGGGCGGGCATGGGGAAATTCCTGGGCACCTTGTCGCCAATGGTGGCCACACAGGATTGCGGGAAGAAGCCCACCTCGTAGAGGGACTTCTGGAGATGGGATTTCTTGCCACGCCACCAAATCGACTCCGCCGGACTGGGCATATCGATGACGGAGATCATGTCGCCCACCTCGATGTTGATCTCGTCGGGCGCTTGGGCCTGATAGCGTCTCACTCCATAGGCGGCGCCCACGGCGGGCGTATTGATGGTCCTCTGCGTCTCCCCGTCCGCCAATGGGAGTCGCCTGCCCTTGTTGTCCAGCTGCAGCCAGGTGAGTATGGTGCCGCAGGTCAGCGAATCGGAGGCGATCTTCGAGAAGCGCTCCAGGTACTTTGCCACCGCATACTCCACATCCGACTCGCTGGGCAGCTCGGCTGCCAGTTCCTCCATGTTGCGCAGACCGCTGATCTTGCGGTCATACACGCACCTGTGCAGCATCTCGTCCAGCAGCTGCATGTTCTCGAAGCTCCTTTTAATGAGAAACGGTTCGCAGCGCTGTGGACACACGCGGATGATGAACCAACAGCTCTCCGGCGAGAAGCTACGCAGTGAGTTGTGCGGCAGGTCGCCGCCAATCGACTGGGAGGCAATGCTGCTGCCCATGTGCTCCGATTTGTCGTCCAGGAGCTGCACGGATAGCGGACCCAGCTGGACGCGTTCGTAGTGGAAGTGGGCGCACTCCTCTAGCTTGGGAAAGCGGCAGGATTTCTGGGAATAAAAAAAAATAATAATTAGAATTATAATTGTATAGAATAATAATTAACCTACGCTATTCAGCGGCTGAACGGCCATGTGACGACTGGGTTTGGGAGGTGGAATCGCACCCTGGATGGGCGGACTGCAGCTGGACTCCGTGGACGCATTGGAGATTTGTGATGTGTTCATGGAGGCAAACATGTCCTGGTAGCTCAGCCCGGGCAAACTCTCGGCGGGCACGATTTTGAAGTTCAGCTGGGCACTGATCGCAGCCGCCGGCGCATCCATTTCGAACTGGAGTGGCGGCGCATGGAGGTCCTTTTCAGTGCTGGCATGGCAGGCCGCCGATCCTCCCTCCGCCGAGGCCAAAGCATGCGAATGCAGTTGGGCTGCCAGGGATGTGCTCACCTTGTCCGACATGATGGGCACTCGATTACTCTACGCCAGTTGCAACATCTGGAAATAAATGGAAGGAAAAATGCAAATTCTAGTGAATGCTTTGGCAATGCATTCTCATCACTATATTCTTTGGGCCTTCAGCAGGGATGAAGCCACCACAAGAAACAATGCGAAGGCTACAAATCTTCACACAACTCTTCCATTCACAGTGTCCATCATTATTATTCTGTTCTCAGACCTTTCCATTTCATTTGCATAAGCAATTCACAGACTTTATGTAGTCAACGTTTAAGTTGGTAAATTACAGCCACCGATCTTAAGAATATTTTAATAAATACCTATACACAGAATATAAAAATTTGATAGGATAATTTATACATTATTTCATATCAATAAGAAGACTATATGATAAATGTTAAATTGATGATACAAACATATCAACTTGATATTTTATCATTTCATAAAAGTTATAAATATACTGTTTTAAAGTACCAAATTTAGTATTTTTTGAACAAATACTGTAAATATTCATATCAAAATGATATGAATAACTTGATTTTTTTATAAATATTAAATTAACCTGCATAAATCAATCTGATTTTTTGTCAATTTGTTTTCTGTGTATATAAATTAATCACTAAATAAATAAATGCCACAATTAAACTCTTTTCTAACTTGCTATTTGGGACATGCCCACTTCTTCTTAGAATCTTGGCGCTCCCATTCCAGAATCTAGAGCTCGAATCCGGATCCCAGACAGTCAGCAATGATTCACTTTCGTCTGATCCAATTCCACCCCAAAGAGAGTGCAGTTTAATTCAAAGTGGCCAAAAGCCAACAGCCAAATTAAACATTCAGGCCTCGTTTAGTGGCGTTTACTTTCTAATGGCACGCGCGATCATTTCATCAACCAAGCGACCTGGAGTCGCGCCAGGCCAAAATGTTCTACTTTCGGGCTGGAAAACAAAATCTGCACTCTCTCTGCTGTGGATTTTGCCTGGCTTGGCGGTGGAATAAATAAGGTCACTGGCTCAGACATGCGGCAGGATGTGGCACATGTAGGGGTATGGCTCGGATCGGCTCGGCTTGGCTCCATAAATGTATACAATAAATATTTATAAAGTTCAAACCAGTTGGGACGCGAGAAATGGGAATGGGAATGAGAATGGGATTCGGATTCGAATTGCAATTCGAAATGGAGAGAGATGTGGATGAGGATGGGATGCCTAGCGGTAGTTCTGATTTACAGGCGACACGAAATGCAATCGCCGCCAGGCTGGAGCTGTTAAACTTTCATAAATTAAGCCAACAGCGGACAACGTTGGCCGAAGCGAAACCATTCGAGCGGTACAGAGAGTACCGAAGAAACGGGTTTTTCCACTAGAGTCTAGGAAAAACTTGAGCCTGCCTCTGAGGCCGTCCATCACTTGCAGCCAAAGCCGAAGCGCAGCAAAACTATTAAAAATTGTTAACGCTAACGGTCTCAAAATGCAGCCACATAAAGAAAGACCAAACTGCAGACTGACAGAAATGTAAAGTGTGCATATAAAATCAAGTAAAACAAAGTGTAAAAACCATATGGCGACGACCTGGGAACTCAAAAAATAACAAAAGATCAAATCGATGTCATCTCAAATTGATCTTGTAATCGAGTGCTACCCAACAATGGTTGAATGAATGAGTGAGTGAGATAATATAACGCAATCCAACGCTTTCTCAACGTATTCTTATGAATTAATTAAGGTTCTTTTATTGTTAAATCTGTTGTTCCCCCATCAACATTATCTAAAGAATTCTTTTTAGTCAGCACGTTCTGAAGATATAAACCATATGATTTTGTTTCGATGATGTATTTGGTATAAAGAAAATGCAAATTACTTAAAAGGATTTATTGTTTATTTATCGATATTTATCTTAAAATTTCACCTCAAATTTTAACCTTGAAGTATAACACAATTTTTGATTTTGACCCAAAAATATAAACGTTTTTTGTATTGTGCAATTGAAAATTTCAAAAAATTTGTGAGATGAAAATTACCATATATAATTAAGCAGACATCGATTGCTTTAAACGTTATTCGAAGCCACCGAAATCAAATGAATTTCATCTCAATTATGCATGAGAGCAAAAACAAAATACAGTTGATTTTTTTTTCGGACACGGTGCATATTCAATTTTCTTGATTGCCCATTCGGATTGCACTTTTGGCCAAAAACGAGCCCAATGAAGACATTTTCCCATCGGTTCGGCTCACTTTCACCAATCAATTAAACAACATTGTCTATGTCTGGACTCTAAGCTCCAAGATCCAAACTACAAACTCCAGAGGAGCAGAGCTGGCAAACATTTCAATCGGCTTTGCAAGAGGCTAATTTAATGCTATGAAATAACTTAATATTGGACAATAGTTAATGGTCTTTTAATGGCAGGTTTCAGGCTACGTTTTCCACTTCAGCTTGGCCGGTTGGTCGGTCGGTCGGCCTGCTTCTCGGCCTGTTTGACCCAATTGACTGGCGGCGAGAAACCGAAAGCTAAACATGACAATGATCTATAAAAAACAAGACTGGAATCGTAAGTGCGTGAGCCTAACTATGGTAGACGTACTGCATCGTGTACACTGTATGTGTATTTAATAAGCTGAATAAAAGTTGCCTGTCTAGGCTGCTGTTGTTTGTGCTAATTTATGGCCCAAAGTGGGTCACTCACTCACTGGTTTCTAGAGCGAACAATTGCAGCGAATGATGTCGGTTGTCGGCCATAAAAGACTTACGAGGCTGCAAATGCATGCATAATGTGCTTAAACCTAGTTGCCGAGACTGCCAGTCAGTGTGTTCGACATTCATTCACTCATTCAGTTAGTCAGTTAGTCAGTTAGTCAGTTAGTCAGTTAGTCAGCTAGTCAGTCAGGCACTCATTCAGTCGCTCACTCACTTTAGCCGGCAAGTGCTAAACGATGCTGGTGTGGATCTAAATGAGACGGATACGCTGACGGACCATTAAATAGATCCGCGCCAGTTTATCTCAGGGAAATGCCAGATATCACTCTTTATGATAGGATACAGGATATAAAAATATACGATTTTCCCAGGCTATTCGATACGATACTTGATTCAGACGGAACTCGAATGAAATTCACCGGCGAAATGATGATAACGATTTTTATTATAAATAAAATATGCTTATGCTTTACAATCCGATTCAAAAATATTACCAAAGTTAACAAAAATTCGATAAAAAAGATATGGGAGACTAATATATTATATTTTGTTTAGGATATAGAATGATTTCATTTTAAGAATTTACACTTTAAAAATGCAAAAACCATTTAAAATTTTTAAAGAAGGTAAAAAAAACATAAGAAACCTTAAATAAATGGCTGATTCAGTTATCAGATTAAGATCAATGACGACCCTTATTTCGTATTCCTCGATGAGTCTTTCGTTCTAGCCCTGACTCACTTGAAACTGTCACTGGTAAACAATATAATTGGCCCTGGCAGATTCGCATTATATAACCTAATGATTTATCCAGCCGGGAGACCAAGTGAAATGAAAGCATTTTCACCGCAGACACATAGACAAGCCGAATGACTAATGGGCTAACATGAAGTCATTAAACTGGCCAATTGATGCCAGCCACCGCGCTCCCATAAACTATGCAGCATGAACAAATTGCAGCCCAAGGCTGATCCGGTTGCTATATGTTCGCTGCCGTTAATCTGTTGAACAGAGCGGTATCAATCTACGCCCCAGTTGACAACCCGTCGTGGCACTTGTGCTTTTGGAAATCTGATCAGTTTGGCTCGCTTGGCTGACTCATATGTAGATGGCAGATTCGTTTACATCTATACTTGGATTTTTAGAGCCCTTTGTGGGGAGTGCTCCTGAATCGATACCACACAACCCCACCGCCGACGACTGACTCACTTTAAAAAGAAAGAAAAAACAAAGCTGTGGACCCAGCATGTGAGAAATGCAATTAGTCTAACCGGCATATTAGTCAACGTTCGTGGTTCGGACTGCCCAAGTCCGTTTTATTATTTTTACCTGGGCGACGGACAAAACTTTACACTCCCATGGCCACCTTAATTGTCGAGCTTTCAACTTCCGTTCACACAATTATGGACCCTGGCAAACACAAATGCACAGCATTTATAGCAGGTGCCACGGAAAAGAGAAAATTTGTAACAAGTTCATGAAGTTTTGAATACGCTAAGTCAAGGCAATTATATTTGCATCAAGTTTACATTGAGGAAAAGGAAATATTTTGATCTAATTTGAAAATATTCACTATCTATCAATATAGAAATATTTTAATAGAACAAAGTATCAAATAAAAATAATTAAGTAGTTAATAACCTTTATCATTCCAAAGATATCATATATACCCATAAAAAGCTAATTATATATTGTCTATATGGTTTATATTATTCTTGAAGCCCATTACTAATTGGTCATGCAAGGTTTCGCACTCATTCCCATATGATTACTCTATTATGTTAAGATTGCATAACACTCGAAATGTACCAACAGAAAATTTCTAAAAGTTACTTTACAAGCAGACCATTAAAGTCCCATTGTTAGGGCATTAAAAAAATACGTTCATCAGATATAGAAAGAAAAAAATAGGAAAGCAAAGGGTAGAAAAGAAAAGCGAAATCGTTCAATTCCGCTGCCCATGTAAATTTTCTACTTTGACATTTGTGCAGAATTTCGCCGGCGCTTCACCTGCCCCCCCGAACTCATCTCTCATCTTTCCCCCAACGAACCATAAAACCTAGCCTAATGTCATTTAACGTTGTCGACAAACAGGTACACATAAACACACACCGACGAGACTTTATATTTTTAATGGAAGTGAAAGTTTTGCGCGCATTAAAAAGAAATATATAGGTATACGTATACAAAACTAAAGCCAAACACACGCGGCCGGCCATATCCAAATATTTTTTCTTTCTGGTTGTCTTAGGCTCGTGGCGCCGGCATGCCAAATTTTTTAAAAAATAAACAAAACACAAACAAAAATCGTACAATAAAAATCACATTAACAAATATGC